GTCCTGTCTTCACCGGCTGCTTCTTCGACCAGTTTGTCGGTTTTCGCTTCTAAGTTTTCGATTTTGTGTGACAGCAAACGTAAATCATCCACGTGCGAAATCCAGGTCTTCTAGGTTCTTCACGTCGGTCCAGGATATCCCTGTCTTCTCGTTTCGCACTGTCTGACGCATAATCCAGTCCACCACAATTAGGAATATCATTGGTGAAAGTAAGCATCCTTGTCTGACTCCTGTGTTAACTCCAAACGCCTCACTGAGTTTTCCGTTGTGGATCACTTGACATGTGGTGTTGTCGTACAGCTATTGAATAAGGTTGATGAATATTTGGGGTACGCCGTAGTACTCGAGTAGTTTCCAAATTATTTCACGGTCAACGCTGTCGAAGGCCTTCTCAAAGTCTATAAAGAAGCCCTTGCCTAGATGTACGTAGCGAAATATGAATATGATTACGTAATCTTACCATAAGCAGGGATAATGCGTCGATAGTTCAACGGTAGAATACTCACCAACTATACACATGGTCTGAGGTTCGATTCCCAGTCGACTTACTCCTTAACCTCGTATAGTTCACTACCTGGATCAGGTGAGAGCCCTAGCTTTCTTACGCCGTAACCAACACAACGGCTGGGGAAACGTCATGACTTGAAGCTCAGAATGAATTTGCACTGACCTGCTTCATTCATGTTCAGTGTATGCGATAATTTTGTATGACAGTACGACGAATGAATCAGCATAATTCATTTTCCGAAACAACGAGGCCTACCTGGAGATGTATGGTCATTAAAACTATTTACTGAGGAGTTTTTCAATGAGATGGGCTTTCATTTATAGCAGAAAACAATTAATGGGTTATTACGATATTAGCATAGGGGATTTGTACAAGGCAGTAGTAATGTAGTGTTTGATGATTCAGTGGGGCGAACAAATAACCGGGAAACTTTCTATCTACAGCCTCAATATTTAGATTTCTAAACCCTTGGAAAAATTAACCAATGCAACAGCATCTTTGTATACATTTCAGATTGACTATGGAATCTCACCGACATGTACCATGATTTAATTTTTCTCTTCTTGTTTCAATGTTAACCTAATCTTGGTTGAAACACCATTACATATCAGAACAGACAGTGAACAAATCCGGTTAACTCATTTAGTAGCAGGAACTGTACTTAAGAAAAAATTCATGTCGTTATCGATCAGTTTGATTTCTAACCTGTTGGTTGCGAGGTTATTCTTACCACTTTTAAAGCGATGTTGTCCGATCAACTTCCTGATAAATATTGTAAAATCTTTGGAGTCATCTATGTGCAGTGTTTTCCTCCCTTTTCGTTCTGAGTGGAAAATAGGCCTTCAGGCCTAGAGCATTGAAGTTTCAGTAGCCGTGGTGCTTTTTTCTTGGCAGGGGATTGTTGCTATGCTCACACCCGGCCTTTCCTCTCTTCCGGGCTTTCGTCGACTAGTAAACTGGGTGATATGTGGGAGTGAGTCAACCAGGAATCGATCCTTGGTCCAAGTGCGTGGTTAACGAGCATTCTATAGTGGAACCACTAACGCATCTATATGCAAATACAGTGTCCACCCTTAAGTAGAGTAGTGCGACGTATATCTTCATTCCAGATGTTTACAGTTTTTGAAGCTCAACGCTACTGGTGTGAAACACAGAAGCGAACAGCTACATGCTTGCTTAAACCAAATCCCAGTTACGTACTACTTCTTCTAAGTATACCTATGTTTCAAAACTTCACAAACATGAGAAATTTTTTTTATCTACATACTGATCATTCATTGAAAAAATTTTTTTCTGTTATTTAAGTTTCCTAATCACTATTAAATTTATTAGAAATTGATCTTGAGCTTACTTCTTAAGGTCATATCATAAAATTCCTGCCTTTTCTTAATAATTAGAATATAAAAGTATTTTAGAATAATATGTCAGCAACTACCTTTGATTCTTTCTTTTCAAGCTATAAGCTATTATTAAGCTATTATTCCTGGTTGATATATTTAAATATCGATTGGCTAAATAATCAGTGTCTAACTGATATGTGGGTAGGCACTCTATTCGTACTCATGCAGCTAGGTGAGGGCTTACGGCGAGTTGTCATCTGAAGTGGTGACAACTAGTGGTGTCCGTCAGGGATGCCCACTATCCCCATTTCTATTCAATTTCATCATAGACGTACTAGTGGACTTAACCGTTACTCACTTCAGAGACTCAGGAAGTGACTTGTTACCAGCAAATAATCTCGTTGACTAAGAATGTGCGGATGATATAGTCCTCTCTCCTAAGTGAAGACGCTGACAAAATGCGTAGTCTTCTGAACACCTTAAGCTGCAATCTACGAATGTTTGGCATGTGATTCGCTCCCACCAAATGTAAGATGATGTACAGGACTTGACTGCATTGACACCCAGCTTGGAAATAGGGAGTGAAGTGGTAGAGCGTGTTGACCACTTCACTTAATTGGGAAGTTGTATCAGCCAGTGCCAGGGGGTTGATCACTGACGAAATCTCAGAACTGATACAGAAGGCTCGTTTCGCATATGCGAGTTTACGCCGTCTCTGGCTTAGTAGACGTGGTATCCAGCCGGCTGTCGACCAAAGGGTGGGTGTACTGCTTGGCAATCTGCTCCGTCCTCCTTTATGGCTGGCTGTGAGACCTGGCCATTCACAGTGGAAGACATGAAAAACCGGCTAGCGGCCTTTCATCATAGGTGCCTGCGTTCTGTCTCCCACGTGAAGTGGTATAGTTGACTGAGCAATATTGAGGTTAGGCGTCGAGTACCAGGTAAGGAGGGGAAATCAATAGACGAGACTGTGAAATTACATCCACTGAGATGGTTAGGACATGTGCTACGTATGCCCAGTCGTCGATCGCCTTCCTCGACGGGTAATGTTAACTGATATAGGGTCAGGCTGGAAAAGAGCTAGAGGTGGTCAAACCAAAACATGGCATCAGTCAATGAAATCTACAACAGATAGTTTAAGCCAGCTACGTAGGAAGGTGTAGACTTCCTGGTTGGTGTCCTCGGGACAGTAAAAACCAATGGCTGGAGACAATTGGTGAGATGGCTCAAAATCGTTCTCAATGGCCGGCGCAGATGCATCCACTCCTTGTGACTTATGATTTCCAATGAAACTGTTTTGTTCTTCGTTATTACTATTCCTTTGTCTCACACCTGTTTACTGTCTCTGTTATGCATTTCTTCTACTTTCTTCTCTTGCTTTGTGTGCTACAAGAAGGGAGTGTGGCGACTTGAACTGCCGCACATCAGTGCATAGTTCTATGTCGAAAACAGACAGACAGACAGACAGACGCCAGGGAAATATTCGATTGTTAGATGGTTCAAGGTGATCGGCATGGTAGTCACATAGGAAAATTTACTGATAGAAATCCGTCTGCACCAAAAGGAAGACCGGACATATTAAATTAGTTTCTACCTAGTTTCAAATTAAAAGAAACATTTAATTCTGTCACCTTTTGGATATACAGGAAAAAGGAACTTCGTCTAAAGGCTTGTTGCTAAATACAACTATTTAAAGCAATCAAAGTGGAATGAATAAAGTTAACTAGTGGTAGTTTGGTGAATTTGTCACCAAACGTACGATTTTTTATTTCACAGACAAAAACTAGTCGATTAAATTTTAAAGCCTTTTTCAGGATACTACCTCTCAATCATTTCATTCTACGGCTTTAATTGTGATGTAATTTGAGTGGAAATGACTAAGCGAGTGACAAATCAATGCAAAAATTTAAACAGACATTTAGAATTCGTTTTAATTTTTGTTATACTGGAAGAAAGGCACACTAAATAAGGTGACCAAAATGAACACCTGAAAATTAATCTGTTGGTCAATAGTGAGAAATTACAGGACGAAGTATCCTTGAGTTCTAGTGAAAAGTAGCGATCAAGTCGACTGTGGGAACAAATATTCCCCGAGGACATTAGCTGGCGTTAGGGATGGAAGTTGCCTACTGACAGAAGTTAAAAGTCATAGGAAATTAGATTCCATGTATTGACCTCATAATCTGACGGTCTTGGGTTCGATGTCCGGTTGAAGTGTTCATGGGAGTGTACTGTTGAGGAGTCCCGTGACCAAATTGGAACATGAGGATTGAAAGATGAAACATCATGGAAATTTTCGACTTTGAATGTCGATTAGTGTCATTATTTTGGTGATATTATTTATTTATTATTATTATATTCCTTTACGTCCTCAAAGGAACACAGGGCTACAAGCTAGACTTTTGAATTTTCAGTAACAGGGTGGGCTTGCTGGTCCCATGCCCAACCTTTCCCTTTTTACCGGTCTTATAACCGATTTAGAGAGGTTTAAGAGTGCGATGGCCGGGGATAGAATGCTGGGCCACATATGTGGTTGGTGAGGATTCTACGGCTGAGCCACCGAAGCCTTTCGGTGACAGATAGAATTGTAAAGCGCAAAAAAACAGATTTCGGGGCTAAGAAGATGTCGATGGAAAAAAGGCCATTCCATTTCAAAAGTGAACTGAAAATCCTTGTGATCATTTGTCCCGAATCTGTTTTAAGTAATAATCAACATTCAGCTGTATTTTGAATGTTTTTATGTTTGTTAAATTTTGAAAAGAAGTCACTTATATCGTTGATGTAATTATTCTTCTTTTACTATTAATTTCTTCATTGATATTTCCTTATAACATGAAAGCTCATCATGTAGCTAAAGCGTACTACTCATCACAGATTGCGTAATTCTACTGGAACCATGACTTTGGATTATATCGTCTTTGGTAGAATAAGAAGAGTGTATTTGATGAAGCCTTCAGTCATCTCTTCCATTGTATATTAATTAGTTGAATTGATGTAACTTTTATTTCTCCTTCTTAAATCTACTAAAGGATTGATCTATTATCATTTTTACTTTATTTAGTTTTATACTTATAACAGATCAAACTAGAAATCAGTCTTTTATAATAATAGTAATGATAATAATCGCAGTTTTATTTCTCCTAACCTTATAGGTATTTAATTATTATATCCATTTTCTATGGGCTTCCTGCAGTCCAGCTGATCATGACATATCAGAAAGTAAGCGAGACAGTTTGTTTTGTATTCAATTTAATAATATAACAGTTGGCCTATTTTATGTGTTTAAACAATGCTTTGTAATATAGTTTGTTGTTAAGATAAAACGTTTCAATTATTGGTTAGCAAGGATTTGAGTGGCTTCAAGTCGGATCACGAGCTGTGACATTGTAATGCTAGAAGACGAAAGTCTTCGTAAAGGAATATTTATTTAGAAATTGGTATCTCTATATAGTCAAATTGTGTATTTTGCTCAGATCTCTTTGTGGTACTTCTGGCTTTCCTTCATATTGTGTTTCTTTGTGTTCCTTACACGTCTCCCATGTATCTCTGCAACGCTGTATCATTTGCTTTCTCTGACATCAAATGTATCTCCGTGCTATTTGATAATTTTATGCCGAAGAACATCTCTTTATATACTACTGATAAATCTTACCAGTAGCACGCGCGCCACAACATCAGTTCTCAAATAAGACGAAACAGCTTTCCAGTATTCCCTAGTTTTTAGTGTTTCTCTAACCGATATCCGCTCTTGATCGAATGTGAAAAAATTATTAGTTAACTTAGGCTACTGATTGGCGCAATTGCAGGCGATTATTCAACTTATAACTAGTAGTGCGTCGGTGGCACAGTGGTTAGGACTCTCGCCGACCATGCACATGGTCCGGGGTTCGATCCCCTGCCAACGCACACCCGATATCTATGATCGGCCTGTAAATTCGGGCTACCGATATCCATGCTGAAAATTCCACACTTGTACTGAAAATACGGTGTGACATCAAGCTGTAATTAAAAATAAGAAATAAAAAATAAAGTAAATAGTAAGGAGTTAAGAATGCAAATGTCAATATTTTAGAAAAATAAGATTCCAGTACTATTTTCCACAAAAATAGTATAATGATTCCAAGCATTGTATGAAAATATTTATGTGTTTATCAGATAATGTTAAAATTTGTAATTCTTGTTAGTTGAGATAGAGAGAAGGGTGTCGTCTGACTCCTGAAAGTGAATTCATTACATAGCACAAGTTATGAATGCGTTTCATTCAATATACTTTAATGGAAGAGTTGTTAAATATAATTTGAGATATTTTAACGTTTCTGGGTTGAGAATTAGAATAAAGAGATGTAATCGCAGTGTAGTTACTACAATGGAGCTTGTACTTAGAACTTACTAGTGGTATATTTGCAGTTATGACACAGTACACACAGAGTCTATGTTGTTATTGTAAAGCCAGGTTTACTGAATCATTTAAATGAATTCAGATGATGTGTTCATAGTATGAATTCTATTAATAGTGCACCAATTATTTCAGTTCTAACTTTATTACGTTCACCGTTACTGCTTATCGAATAATGTTTGGTTACAGGATTTCATCATGAGCCGATATAGGTTAGAGAACTACTGGAAAATCTGGGAGCACTGGACAGTTGTCTCGTCCTAGTTTGGGACTCTTCACCACCATTAGGGTACAGCAGGTTGGGTGTGAGGACAAGTACTCGCCGAAGACATTAGCTGGTAGTCGCACTATCTCTTGAATTGGCAGCAGTTGGAATTCATGGGCCGTTGGATGGGGTACCGGTGGCTTAATGGTCTACGAACTCACCTCGTAACCAGAAAGTCCTGGGTTCGAACCCTCATGGTGGGTGAGTTGTGATGAAGAGTCTCGAACTAGGACGAAACGACCGTCCTGTACTCATAGGTTTTCCAGTGGTTCTGTAATCAATGTCAGCTTATGATTAAATCCTGTAACCAATCAATCAAATCCTTATAAATCAGTACCCAAATAATGTTTGTTGGAAATGGTAACTTTGAGTTCTGCAGTGAAGTGTATTTTTCTATGTTATGGAATTGTGGCTCTATCACTGACGACTGACTTACTGAATTATTAATGCAGAACTTTACATTCATGGTTCATATTTCTATTTGATCCTTCGTTCTTTTTTAACTGCAAATCTATTTAATTATTAAAGGTGACCTTTATTGTGCTTTACAATATTAATTTTCCAACTGTTTTAGTATGCTTAGTTAATTGTTTTTTTTCTTTCCTTCGGAAATGTTAAGCGATTACTAAATGTCCTCAAAGTTCAACATGTGTAGTATGAAATGTGAGAAAGTTTACTTCAAAAATCAAGAAAATCTAAAAATGTATACGTAAACATTGACGGAAGCGTTTGCTTACTAGTAACTACTGTCAACTGCTCTAATTTATCTCTCATTAGATATGTTAAAAATTAAATTTACGCTAAGCAAGTTACATTTCATCAGATAGTGAGTACATACACTACAGAGGAAATATTTATAAAATGAAAATTGTTACCTTGGTTGAATTTGTAATGAAGGTAGCAGCTTATATGCATTCGAATACACATTCCAAAAGTCATGTTTGAAATTGTTACTCCAAGCCAGTTGAGATATATGTATATGTACTTCACGTCTGACAAATATTTTCAAGTGTTTGTTTGCATGGATTCGATCGACTTCAAGATTGATGAGGAATTGAGCTCAGTTAGAGATCCATTAAAAACCAGGAGGTAGTGGACGGCTGTTTTGTTCAGGTTACGAGGCGAGTTAGTTGTCCACTCATCCAGTGAGACGGTACGCATTGGTCCATCAGTGCTAATCAGTGGCGTCCATCAAGTAGAGTGTGACGACAGGTACGTGACGATGATAATGGCTGGTGGTCGCGCTGCATACCGCGAATCCGCGGAAGTTAGAATTGATGGGTCACTGGATTCCGTCCCAGTGACTGAATGGTCTACAAGCCCGCCTTGTAAGCTGATGGTTCTTGGTCCGATCAGCGGTGGGGATGCGTATTGTTAAAGAGTCTCAAACAAGAACGAAGCTTCTTTAACAGTAAGCAGTTCGGCATCAATCTTGACAAATATCTATTCGTATTAAAATGCTGTTCTACCATGAACATTTTCCTAATCGTTTTAGAAGGAGCGGGCTAGAAGTTACGATTTGGGCCTTCATGCTCTGTTGTTTATTATATATTTCAAAATTGGTATGAATTGGAAGTAGTGTTTCAGAGCATCTAAAAACGTTGGATGGTTTTTTTGTGATACATTTTTCCTGATATTGTGTTTACAGTTTCCTTGTTTCTAATTTTATTTTTTACTCTAGGCTGTTTTTGAGACCGGCAATGAAGATTTGTGTTATTACAATTTTGAGTGTGCTCGTCCACTTGGTATCTTCACAGCTTTCAATAACATCATTTCAAATATTGGTTATGTCATGTTAGGATTATTATTTCTAGGCCTTACTGCACGACGGTAAGTTTACTAGTCGGAAAGGGTGATAAAGATAATCTGTGTCTTTTTGTATGGATCCCTATATATATGACAACTCTGTAAAAATTAATAAAATAGTTGAGACATTCGGTTTTTATCTGTGAAAATTTGACATTTGATGGATATATCATGATTAAACTCTTTTATATAGAATCAAACACTTTTGTTCAGCTTTAGATAAAATTACATTTTAAAGTATTGGTTTTGTAGGGATTTTGTTTGATTGCATGGAGGATTTCATCATGAGGTGAAATCAGTTAGAGAACCACTGGAAAACCTGTGAGTATTGGACAGCTGTTTCGTCCTAGTTTGGGGCTCTTCATCAGTACGTACCCACCGGGTTCGAACCCAGGACCTTCTAGTTACAAGGTTAGCGAGCTCGTAGACCATTGAGCCACTGGGACCCGATCCATTGGTCCTTGAATTCTAACTTCATGCAATCAAACAAAATCCCTACAAAACCAATACTTGAAAATTAATCTGATGCTCACTAGCAACTGGCCTTATTCAGGCAGTTAACCTGGGGTTCTATTGGGAAGCCGTGACCAGTAAGGTACAGCAGGTTGAAGATGAGGCAGTAACTTATTGAAGAAGACATTGCGAAACGGTCACGCTTTGTCGTGAAATGGCAGAAGTTAAAATTCAAGGACCATTGGATCGGGTCCCAGTTGCTTAATGGTCTACGAGCTCGCTAGCCTTGTAACCAAAAGGTCATGGGTTCGAAACCCGGTGGGTGCGTACTGATGAAGAGTCCCAAAGTAGGACAGGGGAAACAGCTGTCCAATACTCCTAGGTTTTCTAGTGGTTCTCTAGTAGCTCATGATGAAATCCTCCATGCAATCAAAAATACATTTGTTAATTTCACTTATAAGCACAAAGAATGATGATTAATGAGTGCCTGGTTTTACTACTTTGGCGTTGTTACTCACATTAAAATAAGGATTTGACAACTAACGAGTGATGATGAATATAAAAGACAATTCAGCGAGGAAAGTTTTCTTTATCGACTAAATTTCTTCGCTGAACTGTCTTTTATTTGCTTCATGACTCAGTGGGTATTTTCGGTAGTGTCTAAAGAGTGCTCAGAAATTTTTATTTATGTCAAATTGACTCTGTATCCATATATCTACTCTTACTATTATTTGCTATACTTGTACACTAAGCAGTTTAGCTGGCTAGGTTGCTTATCAATCAGAAAAAGGATGCAGTATATTTGTGGCAGTCAGCATGCTTAATATAGTGACATTACTTGGTTTTTTTTCAGAGTATGTTTAACCCTATTTCCTGCCTTAAATCAAACCACTATAAAATTACTCTGTAAAACGGCTTATGAGCCATGAGGCTTCCAAAAACGTGATTCACAGAAGTGCGTCAGTTCGAGCTGTGAAACTTCGCATGGTACTACGATAAAAAGCACTAGTATTAGAAGAGAAAGGTTTATTGGATGATGGAGTCCAGTAAAACAAAATAGTAAATTAGAAAGGATTTGGTACTACTTTATTCTGTTGGTGCTTTTCGGCTGCACAAACTCTAAACCATTTTGTTAAAAATTTACAAAATATTCACAAACTTTAGTTAGCCAACTTGAAGATAAAGGCCGCAAATCCTTCTTCTCTCTGCTCCATTATTCTATGTGATTTAGCGTTTACATGTAAATTGCTATATGCATTTGAAGGTAACATGAAACAGAGACCTTTCGGGGTTAGTGTGGGATCACCTACTGTTGAATTTATACCAACCTATGGACATTTGTCGAAGGATCATTGACCGGAGACTGAATGGTTTAGTCCCGTAATTTGGAAATAGCTTCAGCACTACGAATTGCTTCAAACCTTTATCAACTTGAATCGACAGCTACATGACAGTACGACATGTCAAGTGACCCACAACGAAAAAATCAACGAAACCTCTGAAATGAAGACAGGAGTAAGACAAGGCTGCCTACTACTGTGGTGAGAGCTGGCCGTAAGCCAAAATTCTGGACAACAATTTACGTCAATGTCCACGTCCCGAATTAGGGTTATGAGAAATACAATAACAAAGCTTAACCTTGTGGAAATCACCAGCCAATCACAGCGGAGTTAATGTGGGGAATTATGATTCACAGATATATGACTTGGTTTTCTGGGAAACGGCCATAAAAAGATAACAAAATAACCTTCAGCAAGAAAACAACCAATCAGAAGTGGTTGCTTGTCCGCTAACAGTAATGTACATACAAATCTATAAATATCTATTGATTTTGTCAATAAACGATCTGTTGCCTGGCCCTCGTCTTCTGTAGTTACACCACCACCGATGGTCTTCCTGACTGGGGTGGACTGGATCATGCGACGGATCTTGAGGAGTGGGATGAGGGATATACATTAGACTGACAAAATGACCTGAACATCATGGATGATTTATGTTGCACAGCGTGGAAGATGTACCAGAGAAAACCAATAAATTTTCAGAATAGGCAACGAAAGCAGAACTTTGATTGGACTTAGGGAAGACAGTTGATGAAGACATTTTGTCAACATCAACAAACACCAATCATTATCAAGGGGAGAAATCTGAAGGAAGTTAACTCTTTCAGTTATCTAGACACCTTTATTTCGACTACAGACGTTACAGATAAGAATGCCATGTCCACCACGATCGGAAAGGCAAAACAGGCATTCGTCACCCTGAAATCACTGTGGAAATCTACTGTATTCACCACGAGGAAGAAGATTGGGAACTTCAAAACTAATATCAAGTCATAACTTGTATATCATTCACAGATATGGCATTTGCGCCACCACAAGTATTTCGACTAGCCTGCTACAGGCTTTTATCAACAGCTGCCTTCTCCAACTCGATAGTGAATATCAGACAGCCTGCTAGGAAAGCCAAACAACAGAAAACGTTGCCATTGAACTAACCGAGAACCTATCACCCGACAAATATGTATAAGGAAATGAAGATGGACTAACCATATACTGAAAAGACCGTCAACTGACATCACGCCCCAGACTGTCGAGTGGAACTCGAATGGGAAATGACAAGCTGGTCCGATAATGACGTAGAGGAGATCGAGGGAGGAAGATTTGAAAGCTTATGGTTAATCATGGAGCCAGCTGAAAAGCCTGCAGAAAACAGGATCTAATAGCGATATGTTGCTGGAGCACTATGTTCTACACAGGATTCAAGAATATAACAATAACTCTTCTTGTCTATATAACCTTATGTGTTGACAGATAAACGCGTATTTGTAGTACCGCCCATTTTTTCAAGAGAATCAGTAGTTTTCTGTTGTCAAGTTTTGTTCGTGATTTATATTATTATTATTATTACTATTATTATTGTTTCCTTTAATTCCTAGAGGAATATAGGGCTTCAGTCGTGCGTCTCTATTGCGTTCGGTTCTCTACTAGAGTCGTCACCTGGCTTCAAGTCTGCCCACACGTTTTCATCTCCTCTTCACATGACCTCCTCCAAGTCACTCTCCCTTTTGGGTTCCACTCGAGCAATGGCTTGTCTAGTGATGTCACTTGATGGTTTCCTCAGAGTATGGCCAATCCATTTCTTCCCGAATATTTGTTTCACAATCGGTTCCTGGTTGGTTCACTCATCACCGGAGATCTCTGTTGCTGATCTTTTCTGGCCGGCCATCTGATCTTGAGTATTGAGCGAAGACAACTGTTAATGAAGGTCTGTAGTTTGTTTGAGATGCTCTTTATGATGCGCCGTGCAAGTCTCTGATCCGTATAGTAGCACTGACTTCACATTGGAGTTGAAAATCCGGCTGTTATTTTTGATGGTGAGTGCTGTTGACGTCCACGCAGACTTGAGAGTAGTGAAAGTTTGTCTTGCTTTCCTGATTCTTGCTTTGATATCCTCGTCAGTTCCGTCCACCTGTAGTTGAAACGATGCTTCCCAGGTAGGTAAAGGAGGTAGTTTCTTTCAGGTTCCTTCCATTTATGCTGATTGTTGTCTGTTGTTGTGGTTGTTGTTACTGTTTCTGTTGGCCAGGAATCTTCATCACCTCTGTTTTCTCTATGTTCACCTGAAGTCCCTCCTACCTTTGATGCTTCTTCTGCCAACTTGTTACTTTTCACTTGCATATCTTCCAGTTTGTGGGAAATCAGACATATATCATCGGCGAAGTCCAGATTCTCCAAGTATTTTGTGTGAGTCCATTTTATGCCTGTTTCCTCATTGCCCGCTGTTTGTCGCATTATCCAATCTAATGCAATCAGGAAAATCAGGCGATAGTAGGCAGCCTTGTGATTTATACTTGAAATTATACTTTAGAAATAAAATCAACTTGAACTAATCAGAGCATCTAATGTCAACAGTTATTTTTTTAATGCAATATGGACTATTTACTCAAACTGAATAAATTAAGGTCGATTATATTTGTTTACTTTTATTGTTTGTTGATGTCAACATTACAGGTTACTCTTTGCAACTGTAGTAGTCAGCCTTATCATGGTTTCATATTAAATATTAACATCCCATTTCGTTCATATATAATCTTGCTTTTTTTCATCATTCAGTGATATCATTCACAGACGAACAAAGAATTTGAATCCTAATTCTCAGGTGAGCACATTGACCTCTTCCGTGTTATCGATTATTTATCCAATGAAATGTACTTTTAAAATGTTCCTTGTGATATGGCTAGACACTATGTATTAATAGGTGCTTCTGTCAGGCGATAGATCTACCTTGTAAACCAACAGTTTGTCTACATCTTTAAGTTAAGAGTGAAGATATTTCTTTGTCACTTATTAGGCCATCATGACATCTATTGCAGGCCAGCAGTCGTCGTATTTCTTGACATTGATCTATGGAGTCATAGTAATATTAGTCTCACTGTCAAGTCCAAGATTAATAATGTTTAATTGTATGCGGTCTTATTGTGACTGACTGACTGGTTTCAACATAGAACTTTGCACCGATGTGCAGCAGAGACAAAAGAATAGTAATATCGAAGAACAATATAGCTTTATTGGGTATTGTAAGTCACAAGGAGTGGATGTATCTGCTCCAGTCATTGAAAACGATTTTGAGCCATATCACCAATTGTCTCCAGTTGTCATTAGTTTTTACCATCCCGAGGACCCCAACCAGGAAGTCCACACCTTCCTACGTGACTGGCTTAAACTGACTGTTGTGGATTTCATTGACTGATAAAGCCATGTTTTGGTTTGACCACCGCTGGCTCGTTTCGAACCTGATATTATGTCAGCTAACATTACCCGTCGAGGAAGGTGGTGGTTAGACATGCATGCATAACACATATCCTAACCATATCAACTAATGTAACTTCAGAACCTCGTCGATTGATTTCCCCTCCTTACCCAGCACTCGACCAATGCCATACTTCAATATTGCTCACCTTGTTATACCACTTCACGTGGGAGATGGAACACAGGCACTTATTATCAAAGATAGCTAGTCTTTTCATGTCTTCCATTCTCAATGGCCACGTTTCACAGCCATAAAAGAGGACAGAGCGGACTGATGAGCAGCACACACGCCCTTTGGTTGACAGCCAGCCGGATATCACGTCTACGTCAGGGACGGTGTAAACTAGCATATGCGAAACGAGCCTTCTCTATCCGTTCTGAGATTTCCTCAGTGATCAACCCGCTGGCACTGGCTGATGCAACTTCCCAATTAAGTGAAATGGTCAACACGCTCTACCACTTCACTCCCTATTTCCAAGCTGGGTGTCAATGGAGTCCAGTGCTGTACATCATCTTACATTTGGTGGGAGCGAACCGCATACCAAAAATTCGTAGATTGCAGCTTCCGCTGTTCAGAAGACTCCACATTTTGTCAGCGTCTTCACTTAGGAGGGAGGGCTATATCATCTGAATATTCCAAGACAACGAGATTATTCCCTGCTAATAAGTCAATGATTGAGTCTCTGAAGTGAGATAGGGTTAATTCCATTACTACATATATGATGAAACTGAATAGAAATGGGGATAGTAAAACCTCAAAAGGTCTTACTGTATGTCTGTGAATTCGCTCGTTTTGAGTTGAGGATGCACACCAACTCTGCATGTTCGATCATCGCTGTCTCCGTAGAATAGCTTCACCATGTAAGCCATGGATATTGTCCTTCTATGAGTGGTGTTACCTTGAGACGCCTTCTACAGTGCTATACCAGCCACTTTCATACAGTTTGTCGTTCATTAGCTGTGAAACTAGTGAGATAACAAAGCGAAGAGGCGATCACCTCAATGACGGATATTTTTTTTGGATTAGCATGTGTTGGTGTGCATGGTAACTCAGTAGGTTGAGGTTCAAGAAGTCATGTGACTCATTGTGTCGAAATTTTATCAGAAATGGCTGAGAGTCAACATTAGTGGCGAACATTCTGTATCTCCCTTCTTTCTTTTATTTTTGAAAATAATTTGCAATAATGAAAGCTCTGCCAAACCTACTTGATGAGTCAATATAGTGGTTCCCAGCCTTTTTCTCCTCCTCTAATATTGTTGTTTTATCCTTGTGTATATATCTATATGTGGCATATCTCTTGATGTCTGCATTGTAGGCAGTTTGTGTTTTTCATAAGGAAATAAACAGTTCATATTTGACTCTGATAAGCACACGTTCGAGTTTCTTAGATGTGTGTAGCAAACATACCCTGCTCATAAGTGTCAACATGTCTAATCCCCAGGTAAATTAAAGTTCCCTACTGATTAACTGATGAGTTTAAACATGAATCCTTCTGCTAACTCTTCCCTAACATCTGATGATATTGATTTTTTCAAATATTACTTATATTTATTCTAATTAATTGCCTAAATTTATCGTATATCTTATTTTGATTGCCTAATTTAATAATTGATTTTTAACTACAAAACAAATTTTTAGGTATTAGGTATTCCACAACATTATGGACTGTTCTATGCGATGGGCTTAGCATTGACTATGGAAGGACTGATGAGCGCCTGCTATCACATGTGCCCAAATTTTTCAAATTTTCAGTTTGGTAAGTTATCCAGTATTGCTGTAAAAAGTATAAATGGGTCCATGTTGGTAGTAAAGGATGTTATCGATAATCTTCGAATTACCCCACAGAGATCACAAACACCGAGTTTCCCATCCCAGCTTATTTATATCTTGGACTGTCGGTCGTTCGCCGCCACTTTGAACACGTTCGTAAATCAAGGCCAGTTCAGGGTCTGAAGGCTGAAATTCGGGCCAACTCTATGAATTACTCGCCTCTAATTGGAGCAGGGAAACTTGTACTTCGGTGCATGATAGGCAGTCACCGTGATACATAAGAAGTTTTCTTGACAATGCATCTGCACTCACTTGATTTTTTCCAGGTCTATGCTTTCATTCAATGTCATACTCTTACAGGTGTTCTTGCCGTCTAGCAATCTGCCCCTCGGCTTCTTTGTAGTTATGTAGCCAGCTAAGGGCTTTGTGATCAGTCCGTACTACGAAGTGTCTACCAAAGAGAGATATGCTCTAAAGTGCTTAACGAAATTGACCAGTGTCAGCATTTCTTTCCACATGGTACAGTAGTAGTTTTTTTTCACTCTTGTTGAGTGCTCAACTTGCATCGGCCTTTCATCTTTTCTGCTGCATCTGCTTCTTTTTTAAACAAAACAGCCCCGATACCAGTGTTGCTAGCGTCTTTATCTAGGATGAACGGACCTGCCTGGTCAGACACGTTGGGGTTTGCTAGGATAGCAGGGCTACATAAACAATCTTTAAGTCTTTTAAAGGCTCCAGCAGCTAATGCTGTCCAACTGTAATCCTTCTACTTAAGAATGTCGAACAGAGGAGCTACAAGTAAAGAAACGTTAAGTACAGAACGTCTATAATACGAGGCTAACTCTAAACAATTATGTAACTTGGGAGCGGCCGATGTCGATGTCGAACTAGTGGAGAAGATTGGTGACTAACATGGATTCAGTTGTGTTATCTGAACTGGATGGTTTAATTTCGAATATCTCATTATCTTGCCAGACATCTTCACTGTTACACACAATGTGAAGTGAGCTATAAGAATTTCCCATGGATTAAATATATGTATTTCTTTGTATTCCTTACTGTGATTGGTTCTTCCCTGAAATTCTTTCATGAATATGCTCACTTGTACTGATTTTCATCCTTTCTTTTGCCTAATGTGTAACCTTTTGGTCGTGTGACTTCGTGGAGATGTGCCTCATTGGCTTAAGCATTCGGCTTCCAACCAACAGGACACGGGTTCGAATCCAGCTCCACTCAGCCTGAGCAACTCTGGATAGCATCACAGGCGCTCACACTATAAATATAACTCAGCCTGATACCGGGTAGAGTTGGGTTCCAACTAAATTGTGACTTCTCTATCGATTGATCAGTTTGATCTGTGTCAACACGTTTATTAACTGCAAATTGATCTAATTACTGCTTCTAGAAATTGCTTAGCGTTCTTTGAGTTTCTTCTGTCTCTTACATTTTTACATTATCTCAGTTAAGTCTATATTCATACGGATGTATATCATAACTGCTAGCTTGTGTTCATAGATTTGGAGACGAAGAGTACACCAGCTTTGGTTAACATAGTTTCTTGTCATGAAAAAGATAAGTTATAAGAAAATCTCCGAACAGAACCAGTCACAGTCAGGTTTACTAAAAAATACTGATATTTTATGCATAAAGAACTTCCAACGGCCCGATTCACGCTGAGACTAGCAATAAAGAAGTTGTCTAGAAGGACAATGGAATCTAAGCACTGAAGTCATTCAGTTCAGAAAGTTAAATAATATTCATAACTCAATGTTCATAATAAAACTAACTGCTTGAGTTAGCAATCTGTTTTCGATAATAATAATAATAAGGCCCATTTAAACAAGTAATAACCTTTATTTTCTTCTAAAAATTCAAAGAAAAGTCGGTCCCACGCTTTCGTAAAACATGTGAACAAGATGTTTGTGATCAGGAAATAAGATGTTGAAGTCATTTCCTAAGTGTATGGCTATACGCACTTAGTATTCAACTTGTCAGGTATTACATAAGAGCATGTACTGTGGAAAATATAGTCAACTGTTCTGATGTGGCTAACATAAAACTTCAGAAAGGACGTTGAAGAGGTTAAAAGTTCCCTCATACCCTTCGACTAATACATTAATTCCCGTGTATATAGAAATTTTCAGCCACATTACACAAGAAAATTAATGAGTACCTGTCGATTGCATGTTCTGATTGTACTTACAAACTCACGTGTAGCTGCCAATACAAAGTAATAAGCCTCTGTTAACCTTCGTAAGCTTGTCCCAATGAGCCTTGGGTTAAGCAAGCTTGTAGGCTCACACGCTGACTAGTTAATTTTGAATGCATTATCGAAAGTACCTGTGGCTTAAAAACGTTTAATGTGGCGAAAGTATTCGATTTTGTTTCGTTTTGTTGGATTTAAAAGTGCAAAACCTTTAACACAATCGTTTCTTTCGTTGACTCTAATTTTGACACATATATGCAGTCATTCCACTCCTCGTTTTCCTCCGTTAGTTTTTTTATATGTTCCAAACGCAATGAAAAATGCACAATTTACTCGTGTGTTGTTATATTGGCAGATGCATAGTACTGTCTTTGTCACATCTAATCCTCCTACTGTAAATGGTTATTCAGTCATAACATCAAAGTATGTCGCTGATTTTAATGCTGTTCGCTTCATCCTTCGGTTCTTGTTCCACTTGCTTTGACAAAATAAACAAGGAATGTGTTTGTATGACGACATTTTCTGTCACACCTTCATGTTTCGATGAATTCCTGACTGACTGAGTTTCAACACAGTCATCCGAACATAAATACAGCTGTTCAACTTGCCACACTCCATGAAACATATAAAGGTACAGGGAAAAGATATATTCAAAAGAAATACAATAAACAGAAATGTGGCGGGTGGGAAAGAACAGCAACATGGAATAACATCAAGGTTTAATGGATATAATAGATCACAAAGTCTGAATACATCTACACCCATTATAAACCGTTCTGAGCCATTATCGCCAATGTCTAGATGAATCTAAATGAGTAATTACTCTCTACTAATAATAAGGCTTTATTTTGATAGTGTTCAATATGTATTGAAGCTTCTAATCGTTTCATTTATTACGTCATAGAAACACAAAGTCTGTCTGTCTATAAGTTAGAATTAGGATGTTCAGGCATGGTGTAATGTTTTCTGAAATGCAGCTGTTATTATTTACCCGCATGAATTTATTTTTTCAACTACACCTTAGAATTTCGCGTTACACCTTGATATATCTCCCCTGTGAAATTCAGCTTCGTGTTTCTTCTCTATCCAACGTGAATGTTTTAAGGAAGAGTAAAAGCAGCAGCAGTTTGCACCAAATAAAGGACTAGACACGTCACACTAGTTACTAGTGTCTAATCAAAATACCCACTACAGTCCTACAGGAGGTCAATCGCGAGCCCGAATAGCTCAGTGGTAACGTCTCTGACTAAAGCACTGGGTTCGAATCTCAGAAGGGACATGAGTTCCTTCAAGGTTACAGATACTAGCCAACTAGCACGAAACCTAGGTGAAGCAAGGCTTCCTGCCGATTGCCTCCAACTATCTAATAACATCAAATCAATGTGCACCGTGATGGCGAGCTACCTAGAATGGTGGCCACATTGCAAAACCTGACTGATAGAATTCAGTCTGCACCAAAGAAAGGACTAGACACATCACACTAGTTACTAGTGTCCAATAAAAGTAAAAGCAGCTGTTTAACCAATCGTTGGCATAGTCAGCCTGTGACCTGACCACAATTCTTAGGTTATGTGTAGAATGTGACTCTAAACTGAGTCTAGTTAAGGCTTTAAAATTCTTTTTTTCTAAATTTCATATTCTTAACTGATTTTTTGCTTTATTGCTTAGGTTTGTGTACGTGTGCATTTGTGCCTTTTCGACATTTATTTGCTATCTGAAAATATTTTTACTGAATACTTTTTAATATCATGTGAAATGTTTTTTCTCCTCTCAGATACCGCCTATATGTATATACTTGCTATGTTAATTATGCTGAAAATTTATCAAACAAGGCATCCAGACGTAAATGCATCAGCTCATTCAGCCTATATGGTTATGGCTGTCGTTATTTTTCTTGGTGTTCTGGGTGTTGTAAGTTGTTGTCTTTTTTAAAAAATTTTCTAAACTTTTTCTTTCGCAGTGTATATGACAATTTTACTGAATTAGACTGTTTATGCGTAGTTTTGGGAATAATATACAAGGTTTATACATAACTCAAGGAGCATGTGTGTTTAATATAGAAAAAATCACCATTTAGACATTTAGAAAAAAGAAAGATTGAGCGAAAAAGTATTTACTTTTCAATGAGATCCTCATCTCTGGCTCTACTCTAATGTATATATAGCATCTTTATTACAATACACAACAATTTACCAATCAAGTGACGATATGTTTGTTAACAATAATTAAACAGTGTCAAAATGTCAATGGGTTGATAATTAACGAAGAAAATCAATACACATTTAAAAGGTAGAAATGGTTTGAATAAATTAATTTCACAAAGATAACATGTAATTAAAGATGAAGTGGTCAAAATAAATAATAATAAAATAATTTGGACAATTATAATTTTTAAAAGTTTAGGGGGGCGACGTAATCCTGTTTATGCATTCTTGTAACGATGGCCACAGTAAGGAAAGTGGCTGTACAATTTTCTTCTGAACACATAGGCTTGGCTTCTTAAGGTGGATTCCGATTGCTTCAGCTGTCTGTAGAAGACGAACTCGTAGAGCAAAATTAAGATTAGTCGGAATGCGATAAATAATTTTAAATGCTGTATTAACATCAAACTTATGCTCAGTATCAAGAAGGTGTGCTAAAATAGAACTACGAATAGATCTTGTTTGCCCCTTGCTTAACCATGTTGGATGATGTTCAGAAATTCGACGATGAACCTGCCTAATTGTGCGCCCAATGTAGCTGGCTCCGCAGCTGCAGTCAAATTGGTAGATACACATAGAAGAGGCAAATTAGGTAGTTTATCCTTATTTCTCGAACATAGAATAGGGGTGGTTGTGAAGAGACAATGTACCTCTGCTGCATAATAAGCTCATTTAACTGCATTCTTCAGGCGCTGTGTTATTATTTCGCTGATATTGTCACCGAGGAACTGGAGTTTTATGAACATTGGTTTTTTCGGAACCGTTGCTATACTGACTCTCCTAGGTGCTGAATTAATATTTTTCTCAATGAATTTATCTGGATAACTATTTTTTCTAAGTAATTCTCTAATAATCTTAAGCTCGTCATTGAGGCAGTCGTCTGAACAGATTAATCTGGCTCTATGAACCAGACACTTTACCAGGTTACGTTTATTTTTCAAAGGTACAAAACTCAAAAAATGAGTGTACTGACCTGTTGTTGTAGGTTTCCTATACACATTCCTTCTTAGTGTGTCATCTTCTTTCCTTGCCATGAAGACGTCTAGGAATGAGATGCTATCATTACTTTCCTTCTCTATGGTAAAGTTTATTGCTGAATGTGCATCATTCTCGTCTTTCATGACCAGAAATGTATCATCCATATATCGACAGTAGAAATCCAAGTCATTAATTACTCCTTTCAGTCGTGCATACTCTAACTTAGCGAGGAAAAAATCAGCTAGCATTGTAATAAAAATGCTATGTATATATATTAGAGTAGAGCCAGAGATGAGGATCTAATTGAAAAGCAAAATATTTCTCCGCTCAGTCTTTCTGTTTTCTACATGTGTGTTTAGATTTTATTTTGGTGTGTAGATAGCCGAGAATATTTTATACTGTTGCATTGCCAAGGGCCTGGTGTATAACATAAGAATGAAATCTTGCATTGCATTGGTTGAAGGTCGTTCGTATAGTTCAATGAACTACACACACACACACACACACACAACTTATCTCTATGGTTGAGTGGGCGTTGCTCCTACCAGCGTCGTACTAAACTGACAAAAACACAAATTTAAAAAAAAATATGTTTATGATCACATTAGACTTTTTAATCCGTCGAGCTTATATGAGATATCGATCGAGCTAAATCTATGTTGTTTTCAAAATGCTGGATATTATTATTACGAAGTAAAGGACGGTTATTTTATTTTTCATTTTCACATGTTTACAGGCATCTTGTTTTGTTATAGGGAGTTTTTTTGTTTATCTGAACTGACTTGTGCGAAAACAAACACTATAGCTCGCGACGAAAATTCACGTTCGTCTAACACAAGCTGTCATTTTGTTAATTGTGTTATTTGTTTATGCCAGTGTTTTGTTGAATTTCATAAATAATAAATACAGCATCAATATCGATTTTCAATATCCTTGAATCTATTCGCTTTTATCAGAATATGCAAAATAAACACGCGTGTGTTTTAAGGTTGAAGTTTATCGTCTCAGATTGTAAGTGGGAAGCAATTTTTAAGGGCGTACACATTTAGACGCGGAAATGATATCTTCTGGAGTTTAAATCACTACTTTTTTTTTCCTTCACGTTCCCAGCAGAACATAGGGCTTCAAGCTAGTGGCTTGGAGTTTCTGTAGCAGTCTTTATTTTACAGGATGGGGTTGCTAACCTCATGCCCAACCTTTCCTCTTCACCAGCATTATTTTTGGCTTAGCGAGGTGAAGGAGTGCGTCGGGCGGGGATCGAACCCCGGACCATGTGCATATTGGGCGAGCGTCCTAACCGCTATGCCACCGACGCATCAAAATCACTACTTTATAACTAGTGTATTAATTTTCGATCCTTTAATTAATACACGTCCAAATACTACTGAAGGAAGATAGGTTATCATCATTCAGAGCTGCACCGACAAGCGTACCAGTTGTATTGAGGCATTTCACTTCAATGATGAGACCTAATGAAGTTTAATTATTTTTCTATAGTTTGGTTTGTAAGGGTTAGTTTTGTTTCTACGATTTGATCACAGATTGATATCAGTTAGAGAACCATTGAAAACCACCAGGGAGTACTGAAAAGCTTTTTCATCCTAGCTCTTTGGGAATCAGCGGCAGTACGCATCCACCGACAGGGTTCGAACTCAGGACCTTTCGGTTACAAGACAAGCTCTAACTGATATCAATCCGTGATCAACTCGTAAAAACAAAACTAACCCTTACAAACCAAACTATAGAAAATTAATCTGATGCTCACTAGTGACTTGCAACAGGATGGAGTTTCCTGGAGTCAGTTCTAGTGAGAAGTCGTGACCAGTGAGGTCCAATTAGATGTCACGTGTGTGGATGGATGTTCCACCAACGACAATGGTTGGGGTCGCGCTAAATCACGAATTGGTAGAAGTTATAATTCATGGGCTCGCCATTGAATCGGGTCCCAGTGGCTGAATGGAATACGAGCCAGCTTGCCTTGTAACCGGAAGGTCTTGGGTTCGAACCCTGGCAGTGAGTGCGTACTGACGATGATTCCCAAAGAGCTAAGATTAAACAGCTGTCCAGTACTCCCTGGTTCACAGTGCCTCTTTAACTGATATCAATCCGTGTTCAACTCGTAAGAAGTTTAATTAAATTTCTGATTTACAATTTACGCAGTTCGAAGTGAAAATTTCACTACATTTTCCTTTGGAAACTGAAATTATTCAAAACACAATGTGTGATTTGCTTGTTGTCATAAATGGTGATCAAGAAAGCAAACATGCATGTGTGATGCTATATACTACTGATTTATTTGATATGAGTAGTTGGACAGCATCAAGTAGCTATCCAGAAATTCAGGTGGTTTCAATTAATTCGGCTGTGTTAACTGAGCCTAACTGGGTAGACGACTGATGAGTTGTCGGTTTCAAACGAGAGAAACAGCTGTCTGTTTTTTGGATCACTTCAGTCTGGCTAGCAAATACTACTGGTGGATGTGAGGGTTGTGCGAATACCCAATATCAGTTAATTTATAGGGCATAGCGTCATACATCTAAGGTGTACCCCTTTTGCTTAGGGTTAGGGCAATTGTATTCAATGAATGCTTCAAGCAGATTAAATATAAACATGCATAGAATAATGCAGCGAAACGACGACAAGACAACTACCTCTTCCATTGCTCTTCATTTAGACGGGATAACTAACAAAATCATATATTTTTTGACAACTAGAATGGTTATTGCAACTCCCGAAACCTATGCCATTGCCCCGCCTTACGCAGATCTAAGTAACTAAATAGCTGGATACTTGAAATACTGTAAATCTAGAAATAAATTAAAGCGCTATCGATGGAAAAAATGTTTTGTTCAAGTTCTGTATTCTTATTTGAACTGCGCGAATGAATTCGCGACTTGCCTAGTTCAAGAGGGGGAAAGGAAAATTATCCAGATCATCGCATTATGTAATCTGCTTGATATCATAAAGAGTAATCAAAAAAAGCAAGAATAAGTTTCTCTGGTATTGGCAAATTGAGTCTTCTACACGTGATCAAATGATTTTTTGCCTTTAGTATAAAATCAGTTTATATTTTTACCTAAAGTCAAAAGAAATATCAGTTTAATGTCGTTTAGAGCACATCTGCAAGATTGTATCATGTGCGTGTGTGTGTCCTGTAGGTAGGTGGCGATTAAAAAAAGATGCAAATTATCTTCTCACTGACAATGTAGAAAATAATGTCCGTTAGTTGATGTATGAATTCAACTTTGTATCAACAAGACATGAACGTAACGTGTTTCTGATATTTGATGTCTGTGTACGCAGAGTATCTGTTTGGTTCAAGCTAGTTATCAGCATAAGTCGATATCAGCTTACGAAGCTTTTGATACACATGTTTCATACCAGATTGAGATTCTTCAGCACAATGCATTCACTTCGCTTAGATTCAAGCTCATGACAGTGTGGTCATCTGGTAGATGAATTGATCCTTGGCTTGAAATTCAATAGCCTATTTGTGATATGATGCATTCATTATCACTGTATTCGCTGACTTCCCGTGAATACCATCCACCCTGTCCATTAATTTACTTTGAAATCCACCAGTTAAAAAGCTCAACCTAACCATCAAATATCACATATGAATAAATTTCAGTCAACTCTGATTTGCTACAAACTTATACTAGTTTGATGCTGATAACTCTTTGTTTCACAAATATTAATTAAGACAGTTTCGCCATCTCTCTGTCTCTCTGCTTTAATCTTTGTCGATGTCTGTAAATTCTCAAGGAATTGTATTTTGGCCAAAGTTTGCCTCATTTATTGTCTCAATGAATTCTATTAATGCACTAAAGTGTGCAATAACTATTTACACATTGTTTTGTCTTTTGTTTTTTCTTCTTTTTATTAACTGTTTAGTTGTATGGTAACCAAATATTTTGGATTATTTTCACTATCTTCTTTTTGATAATGAGTGTCGTACTGACAGTGGAGATTTATTATATGGGCCAATGGAATATTGGTAAGTAGTATTAGTAGTAGATTCATTTTTATTGCTTGTATACACCTAATTTTTCTCTTGTAAATTATACTTATTCGAGATTGATCATGGACGGATTTTAGGATAAGAACCGTTAAAGATCAGGGAGTACTGGACAGCTGTTTCGTCCTTGTTCGGGACTCTTCATCAGCAGAATTGGACACTCGCTGAGGAGGCCGCTCGGTGACATCGCGCGTCAGGCCCTCGAGTGGAACCCGAAAGGGAAGCAGCGAGTGGGACGTCCAAGGGTGACATGGAGGAGATCGTGTGAAGAGGAGTTGAAAAAGTATAGAATAACATGGATGCAGGTGAAAAGTACAGCAGAAGACAGAAACAATTGGAGACGTGCATTTGAAGCCCTATGTTCCACTAGGAACCCAAAGGAACAATAATAATAATAATCAGCAGGTTCCCCATGACCCGATCAGGGATCAAACCCGGGATCTTCCTGTTGCAACATGAGTTGGTAGACCATTCGATCACTGGGATAAAATCCAGTACCACATGAATTCTAACTTCTGCCAATTAGCAATATAGAGGCACCACCAGCCAACATCATCGGTGATTATTTGTCCTTACACCCAACTTGGTAGACTCCACTGGATATGACTTCCCTTCACACTTTAGGCAACTTCATATTGATTTCGCATAAATACCTTTCTGTAATATTTTTGTTTTGTTTTTTTCACAGCACTTTGTGCGTCCCCATGTGTTGTGAACAATTGTCAACATTCCTTGCATTAATGCAGTAATTAGTCTCATTCAATTCGTGTTACCCGACTGACTGACTGACTGACAACTGAGTTTCAGCATTGAGGTTTTGCACAGAAGTGCAGCTGTTCAAGTTGCCACACTGTATGTAGAACACAAAGATAGACAAAGGAGATAGAAAAGTGATTCAAAAGATTTATAATGGGCAACAGAAAGAATAATAACATGGAAAAACCTGTGGATTTAATGGATCTAGGAAATTACAAAGAGTGAATGCATCTGAGGTATTGAAAACGACTTTAAGACGTATCACTAATATCATATAACTTATTGCTTCTTGGACTTGAAAGTTTAATCACTACCGGACTTTGACGTTTGACTCGTATACAGTTTTATATCATTTTGAATTCGTTCCTGAATCAATATCTTTCCATATTCAACTATAACTTACTTGTTGACTTTTATGATACCAATTAATTATAGTTTCATCAAAAAGGATGAATGTGTAATTCACATTGATTTAACGCTTTTAATATACCATGTCTCTTTGATGCTATAGAATACTACTGCCTTGACAAATTATTTCAAAATACAAAGGTTGAAATGTAGCTGCAAAGCTGATAACTGTGTTTACATTTATTAACATTTTAATAAAAGTTTTAAGTAGCTCAGTTCACATGGTGTGAATGGAATGCATTCACTGTTTGCCTTATAAAGAGCTTTTTTTGGTACCATCTACTGTTTCCAGTCACTATCATAATTTGGTAGCTGAACTTGCATATTGAACTGACTGAAATGATTGTTCCTAGATTTCGTAACATACGAGGGAGGTTGTATGGAAAGCAGTTATCGTCATAGTTGCAGTATACCTGTGGTGAGAGCTGTCTACTAGCCAAATTGGTAGACAGTAATTTACGTCAATATTTACGTTCCCAAGATTTGTCGTGAGCAAATGTGAACAAAGATTGATTCAAAACCGACCACAGCAGACTTTGCGTAGGCGGATGCAGTTAACATATAGATGACCTGATATTCAAGAAACAGTCACAAATAGATGAAAGATTAACTTTACGTGAGAAAAAACCAATCGGAAGACTGTGTTTGTTTGCTTAAATAACCATAGTAATGTACATGAAAATATATAAATATGCGTTGATTTCCTTAATAAATGATCTGTTGCCTGACTCTTGCCTTCTGTTGTTACATACCTATGATGTTAAAGCAATCCTAGTGTAACAGGAAAAGACATGATAATTGGTAAGGGAATGTTTATTTGCAATTTGATAGACACACATATAAGGAAATTATGTATGGCTTAAGCGAAAATCGTCAATTGCACAGATCATCCATGTTGTGCTACTTCTGTCCTTCGTATTGTGTTTCTTTGTCTTCTTTTCTTGTCTCCCATGTTCTGCTGCAATACTGGTTCATTTGCTCTCTTTTTAAATTGAAATCTATCTCCCGATTGTTTGATATGTTTGTGCCAATGAATATCTCTGTATATACTACTGGTACATCTTGTCAGTAGCACACAGGGTGGTAAGGTGTCTCTTTCGAACAATCATCGCTATAACTCTGGTGACGTGGAGGTTGAAACTGTCGGTCTATAAAATTTCTCTTACCTTATTGTCTTCCGTAAACAGTGGCAAGATATTTTAAAATGCATAAGTTCCTATACTTTTCAAACTCACCTGGTGGTAGGATATCCCCTCATTTTTGTGCTGAGACAAAAAAGAGGTTAAATAATATACCGTAGGCTTTCGGGTAGTAGAAACTATTTCAACACTTTCCGTTTCCACAGAAAGCCCTTCACTTCGTCTATTGTGCCTATCTGTGCTCTTATTCGGTTGTTTCCAACTCTCTCCACTGATGGTGGTATTTGCGATACAGTTCTTTTAATTTTCAAGTATTGGTTTTGCAGGGAATTTTGTTTGATTGCATGGAGGATTTCATCATGAGCTGACATCAGTGAGAGAACCACTAGAAAACCTGGGAGTACTGGAAAGCTGTTTCGTCCTAGTTCGGGGCTATTCAGCAGTACCCACCCACCGGGGTTCGAACCTAGGACCTCCTGGTGACAAGGCGAGCTCGTAGACCATTGAGCTACTGGGACCCGATCCGATGGTCCTTGAATTCTAACCTCCGGCAAACCATGACATAGCGCAACCATTTCGCAGTATCTTCTTCGATGAGTTACTGCCTCATCTTCAACCTGCTGTACCCTACTGGTCACGGCTCGCCTTGTAACCAGAAGGTCATGGGTTCGAACCCCGGTGGGTACGTACTGATTAAGAGTCCCAAATTAGGACGAAACAGCTGTCCAGTACTCCCAGGTTTTCCATTGGTTCTCTAACTGACAGTTCTTTTAACTTTTCTAGATAGAATGATTATTCAGAAATCAAATTCTTCTACACCTAATAGTCATACTCTTATCTTCACATCAGAGCTTTTGACATTTGAATTCTAAACGAAATCGTACATTTGTCCCTACTAGTTTGAATTCCAGCATCATGAGTTATTAATGTATATAGCGTGCTACAGTTAGTAAAATCTTAGCAGGTGATTATAGTTCTCAAGAATAAACCAGGGGATAGTCGGAAAAGCATATTTTAGTTATCTAAGGAGCCCCCCACTTCAAGGAGACGGTGAAGATGACAGTTGCTTACAGGGTAATTGTCCATTATATGTTGAAGTTACTCTGCAACAGTGTTATTTTCCACTGTTCATAGGACGAAAGGCTTCAAGAGACCTACCGTAATTTCATGGCGTATGCGATTAGGTCGGAGGTTTGAGGTCTGAAGGTTTTAATTAACGCAGGTAAGTCAGTTGATGAAATTATAAGTCTCGAGCATCTGGAGTGGTCGGTTCATTTTTATTTACATTTACCTATTCCCTTTCTCTCGATGTATCATGCTGTTTGGAAGTAAGATTTAGATGAACTAAAGTAAAATAAGTGATCAACCCAACACTTAACACTAATCGTTGTAATTCTTGATTGTCGGTTTGAGTCATGTGGCTAACTGTAGGTTACTTGGATGGCATCAGTGGGGCAACTGACAACTGTGTTTTGCAGAATAGAAGTCTTATTTCTCAGAACCTTCTGCAGTTTCATAGATCTATGCATATGTAATCTTAATTGGATGTAGTATCATAGTGTTTAATCTCTCCTTCATTATTTTCTTTTTTTTGGAAATATTTCACTCTTATTTGACTACTATTTTTTGTTTCACCTTTCATTAATTCTACCCCATGGGCATATATTATAATAAGGTCAGTGAACTTGAACCACTCAAAAATAATAACATAAGTTTTCCTAATTCTGAGGTGGTTTAGAGTTTCTAATTATCAAAATGTGTAATTAGGAAATAATAGTAGTAGTAGTAGTATGATTCACGACCAGTGATTATTCGATTACCTTCAATCAACATACCCTATAATTTTGGTGAACTACTCAAGTGTGTATAATTTAATCTCATAGTCACGAGTATATTTTCGGTGAACTCGGTTGACTTCAAAAATTGATTACCACTGTGTAGATATTCTGTACGAATGCTGATTGCCAATAAAAATAAAACAATTTCTTAGAATTCTTGCCTGACTGACTGGTTTCAACATAGAACTTTGCACTGATGTGCAGCATTTCGAGTCGCCATACTTCACTTAGCACACAAAGCAAGAGAAGAAAGTAAGAGGAAATGCAAAATAGAGACAGTAAACAGAGATACGAGGCAAAAAGAATAGTAATATCGAAGAGCCATATAGTTTTATTGGGTATTATAAGTCACAAGAAGTGGATGTATCTGCTCCAGTCATTGAGAACGATTTTGAACCATATCACTAATTGTCTCCAGTTGTCACTGGTTCTTACCATCTCGAGAACCCCAACCAGGAAGTCTACACCTACTTACATGACTAGCTTAAACTAACTGTCGTGGATTTCACTGACTAATGCCATGTTTTGGTTTGACCGCCGCTAGCTCTTGTCCAGCCTGGCCCTATATCAGCTAACATTGCCCGTCGAGGAAGGCGATGACTAGGAATACGTAACACATGTCCTAACCATCTCAGTCGATATAATTTCACAGCCTCGTCGACTGATTTTCCTTCCTTACCTAGCACTCGACCGATGCCTTACCTCAATATTGCTCACTCGACTAGACCACTTCACGTGGGAGATAGAACGCAGGTACCTATGATCAGAGGCCGCTAGCGAGTTTTTCATGTCTTCCACTGTGAATGGCCAGGTCTCACAGCCATAAACGAGGACAGAGCGGACTGCTAAGCAGTACACACCCCCTTCGGTCGATAGTCGTATATCATGTCTACACCAGAGATGGCATAAACCGGCATATGCAAAACGAGCCTTCTGTATCCGTTCTGAGATTTCGTCAGCAATCAACTCGTTGGGGCTGATGCCAGTTAGCTTCTAATATTCAACGGTGATTGAGAATTGAACTGAAATATGCGTACATGAAAACTATAGTGTTTTATCCAATCCATTATATTTTCTTTCATATTTAATCAGCTGATCAAAAGTGTTTTTTAATCATACTTTTCGCTACCTTTATGTGTTTGTGTGTGTTTTATTTTTGTAAAGATCTTTGCCTACCAAGACGTATCTATCACCTAATTCGTACCGACGGAATAAGTTGCTTCCGTCCAACATACCTAGAGCGTATGCTTCTTTTACTTATTGCCAACTTGGTTAATTTTACCTTGTAAGTTTACAGAATTCTATTTCTTTTTGTGAGCTTTATTTCCATTTCACAATGAATAGATTATATAATTACCATAGTAAACCATTTAATTTCAAAAGGTTAATATTTGATCACAAGTATTCGAGATCACTACCGATTGTTATTACTTCTATATGATAACTTTCTGTAAGTTCTTATATTTGTTATAACCGAAATTATGACCTAGTAGACTATGAGCGAATACTAACTTAATGCGCTGTCTAATTGCACGTCAACAACAACGATAACTCCGCCAGCATGCAGACACATAAGAAAGACTGTGAGTCGATAAAAGAGCTTTTACAGTCAAAATGCTAGACAGAAACTGTGTATATGTATAGCTAGAATGACCTTGAAAATATAGTAATTCAGTGATGGTTTAAAAGTGTGAACAACCAACAGGAATCCAGCAATCCAAACAGAGAGGAAAACAAAGGACTCACGCCATTGCGGGACAACTTCTTGAATTAATTATTTTAAGGTTTTAGGCAAAACTAGGTGTATATAACAATATTTTCAATCGAATACCGAGTAGTATTGTAACAACAGAAGACAAGGGCCAGGCAACAGATCGTTTATTAAGGAAAATCAACACATATTTATAGATTTTAATGTACATTATTGTAGATTATTGTTAGTAGAAAATACAGTCTTTTGATTGGTTGTTTCTCACAGAAAGTTAACCTTGCATCTCTTTGTGGCTGTGTCAGATCATCCATATGCTAACTGTATCCGCCTACGCAAAGCCTTTGTTCTCATTTTCTCACCACCAATATTGGGGACATAAACATTGACGTCAATTACTGTCTACCAACTTGGGCTAGCAGCCAGCTCTCACCACAGTATGTCTCCACTAACATAAAGTACTTCTTCAGCACTTTCTTCACAGTCAGACACTGTTGGAGGTGAATGGCATCATCAGATTAAGAAATATAACACGTGCTTAAGAATGTATTTGTGATTTTAAAACTTTCGAACTGCGGAAATATGTGTGATTTATCTTTATTGACACTTGGAACCCATTGCGTCCCCCCGTTCTTGAATAATTCTCTGTAGCCTTGGAATGACTCTACACTGTTCAATCTAGCTACTTTATTCGTCATGCTAATTCTTTGAATTGAAACTAATAGTAGTTGTGGTTGACTGGATCATACAATAAACCGTGGGGAGTTAGAAGGTGGGCTGACGAAAAACCTCGAGAATATCTTGATTTAGCTGTCTCACAAAGTAGAGGGGCTACAAGCGAAAATTAACAAGTTTTTATAAGAGACAGTGAAGATGGAACTTCAAGTGAACATATAGAAGACAGAGGTGATGAAGATACTTAACCAACTACAACAACAAGCACCAGTTACAATAAATGGAATCGTTTCTTTCCCCTACCTGGGCAGCATTGTTTCAACTACAGGCCTCACGGATGTAGATGTCGAAGCCAGTTACGATAAAGAAAGAATGTGACAGGCTTTCATTACTCTGAAATCTGTGTAGAGATCTACAACACTTCACACATCAGGCCACACTGAGTTTTCAATACTAAAGTTAAGTCAGTGAGTCCTTCGGTATGGTTCAGACAGTTAGCGTGCGTGTCACGAAACACATTTCCAACATGCAAGTTCATACTTTCATGAACAACTCCCTTTACCAGACACTGAAGATCAGGTAGCTGACCAGAGAGGATAAGCAACAAGAAACTACAGGCTCATTGAGCATTAAATATACCGAAGGAAATAAAGACAAATCTGACACACGCAATGAAGACCGATGAGTGACATCACACTCCAGGGCCATCGAGTGTAGGCCAAATGGAAGGCGTGGGTCCATTAGGGCCATGGAAGAGATCCTGTGGTTAGGAAGCAAAAGTTTATTATTATTGTTTCCTTTAATTCCTAGAGGAACATAGGGCTTCAGCCGTGCGTCTCCATTGCCTTCGGTTCTCTGCTACAGTCTTCACCTGGCTCCAAGTCTGCCCACATGCTTTCATCTCCTCTTCACATGACCTCCTCCAAGTCACCCTCATACTGACGACCAACTCGCCGCTTCCCTTTCGGGTTCCACTCAAGCAATGGCTTGTCTAGTGATGTCACTTGCTGGTTTCCTCAGAGTATGGCCAATCCATCTCCATTCCTTCCTGCTTATTTGTTGCACAATCGGTTCCTGGTTGGTTCGCTCGTTGTCAGAGATCCCTGTTGCTGATCTTTTCTGGCCGGCCATCTGATCTTGAGTATTGAGCGAAGACAACTGTTAATGAAGGTCTGTAGTTTGTTTGAGATGCTCTTTATGACGCGCAGTGCAAGTCTCTGATCCGTATAGTACCAGTGACTGACTTCACATTGGGGTTGAAAATCTGGACCTCATTTTTGATGCTGAGTGCTGTTGACCTCCACACAGACTTGAGAGTAGTGAAAGCTTGTCTTGCTTTCTCGATTCTTGCTTTGATATCGTCGTCAGTTCCGTCCACCTGTAGTTGAAACGATGCTTCCCAGGTAGGTAAAAGAGGTTGTTTCTTTCAGGTTCCTCCAATTTATGCTGATTGTTGTCTGTTTTTGTTGTTGCTGTTAGTGGTGTTTTCCGGGAATCTTCATCACCTCTGTTTTATCTATGCTCACCTGAAGTCCCATCTTCTCTGGATGCTTCTTCTGCCAACTTGTTGCTTTTCACTTGCATATCTTCCACTTTGTGGGAAATCAGACACATATCATCGGCGAAGTCCAGATCCTCCAAGTATTTTGTGTGAGTCCATTTTATGCTTGTTTCCTCATTGCCCACTCTTCGTCGCATTATCCAGTCTACTGTAATCAGGAAAACCACTGGCGATAGTAGGCAGACTTGTCTTACTCCTCTCCTCACTTCGAAGGATTCCGTGAGTTTCCCGCTGTGGATTACTTGACATGCAGCATTGTCGTACAACTGTTGGATGAGATGTATAATTGTCGGTGGCACCCCATAGTAGTGTAGTGGTTTCCAAATCACTTCTCTATCGACGCTGTCAAAGGCCTTTTCAAAGTCGATGAAGTTGAGATAGAGAGGTGACTGCCATTCCAGGCTTTGTTCAATGATGATCCGTAATGTGGCGATCTGATCAATGCAAGACTTGTTTCTCCTGAATGCAGCCTGTTCCTGTCGAAGTTTTTCATATAGGGCATGTTTGATTCTCTCCAGGATGATGTGGCGTAGTATTTTGGAAGCAAAAGTCGACAGGTGATTATGGAGCCAGCTAAAAAACTGCGGAGAACAGAAAGATGTGCTGCTGAATTTTTATGTTCCACTCGGAACTCACGCCAATAATAACGAACATTCCTCTTCATTCTTATAAACCCTAATGATCAGCTAACTATATCCCTCTTCCAGTACGGTACACTAACTAGTATCTCAGAGTGTTCACTGGTTTCTCACCAAAATCCTTAAAGACTTCTAGTGTCGCAATACCTCGTCTTACCTCTGACACTTCCTGTCAGAGCTTGGAGAATCAATATACTTATGCTGCCCAAACTAAGATTTGACGGTGAGCAACCACAGTGTAACTGTATATGATCTTGGCTGTGCCTCGAAGTGTTCTGTACATAAAATTCCGGCTGTCTATTTTCGGAAAAGTTATAACCCACATACTTTTCTGATAATCACTTCATCAACAGTAGTCGTTATACAACCTGCCTGTTAGCTATGCTTAATCTGTTGGTGAATATAACTTGGCGATGATGAGTTTTTTCTCCGCTTTCTCCAGCCACAGATGTTGTCTGTCGTTGCATTGATATCTAATCAATTAGCTTTTGAGGAACTTTCACCGCCCTTGTCATAAACCCAGAAAGCGGTGTGCATCATCTTTTTTTCTATTTTCCGTATTTTTTCTTTGTTGAGATTGTGCTAAGGACCGCCATTCTAACTGATAACTAGTAATATTTGTATGATACCAGTCACGTTGTCTACACAGTGATAAAGTTGGCAGTTATTGATTGGATGGATTGACGATATAGCAGGTCAGTACTTCAGTAAATGATAGAAGCCTGCTTTCAGTATAATATACCAATGTAGATAATTATAGCGTTGTGTATAACTGAGAAGTGCTTGACAAGATGATGCTTCTGTTCTATCTAACCTTAATAGTTTTAATATGTTTATTACTATTGTTTATACTTCCGCTACCGTTTATATTTATCTTAATTCTGTTCTCTTTTGCTTTTCCCTATCGCTTCGTTTTTTTAGAGCCGGTTATGGTATAGTTCGACGGCCAAGGGATTTTTCTACCTTTTTACTATCGATTTTTATGATCAATTTATTGATGTACACATTTTTCTATGTGATTATGAAAGTAAGTTGCTTTCCTTTCTTTTCATTCATCGTTTAATTAATTGTTCATTTGAAAAGTTTCAGTATATCGAACTATTTTTACAGACACACAGACAAATTTAAAAATTAGTTCAAAAGTCAATCAGGAGTAGGGATTCTATTTTTTTTAAAGCACTTATTTCATTATAATCAAAGTGCTCTCATCCTTTATCCGCTCTGTTACTACTCATATTTAAAAATACTTATTCCTTTGAGTGTGAGTCAATAGTTTATCGATAGAATGCTTGTCAACCACTGGATTTGACTGCTGGTGTCTGATGGACTCCTGAAACCCTCGCCTAGTTTACCAGTCAGTAGTAACCCTAGAAGTGAAGAAAGCTTGAACGTGACGCGAGAAACGCCATGCTGTAAAAACAACACCACAGCTTGAAGCCTCCACCGCCTATTTCACTTGAAACGCAAGAAATTTTAAATAAAAAGAAGTCAGTTGTGATAATGGGTGTTGGTAATTTAGCCACATTCGACTGTAAACCAATCGGTCAAAGCGTCGAACTTTACTCTGCCTATCTCGTCTATAGAAAATAAGACACTGTAATCAGCTGTAATACACTGGGTGTTTAAATCAATATGATACACATGAGACTCCATTATGGATAATATTTTATTTTGATAAAATCGCACAATGTTATACAGTAATATTAACTGATGACGTTTCGAGCACAAATTATTACTGCTCATAATCATATCAAGTTACTCACACAACTTTTTCCTTCATTTATATACATGTGTGGAATTGACTAGATATTTAAATAAAAATCAATATAGGATAGTGTACATTCAGAAATAATAATATGAGTGTTATTGATCAATTACAATCAGATGGGAAATAAGACGAGTGTTTTTTTAAGTCATAATAAGTAACTTGTTAGAATGTGTTGATGTGCTTGAATTGAAATAGAATTTTTAGATTAAAAATGCCCATTAAAATTTTCAAAAGAGTGGATACTGTACAAAGAGTACTCTTTTCGATAAATTCATCATCAGGTTCTACAGTCATATATACATTATAGTGAATGAATGAATTAATGTTATGAACGACATTACTGTTTGAATAACATCGAATCAATAATATTGATAGATTACAGCTGACTGTTAGAAAAATTAGGAAAGATAATATCATAAATTCATGAATTTATAGTCTCTACTGAAGGCCGGCCAGGGCAGTAGTAGGGGCTGGACTTGCTTCTTTTGAACACAGAGCACTGGTTGTTTGAGGCGAATTGCAATAGCCTCTGCTGTTTGGAGCATGCTGTGCTTCGATGATTTAGGTAATTTGTTAGGCATCCGTTATATTTTAGAGAAGGATTCTTCAACGCTGGACGGCTTTGTGGCCGGTTTGCACCAGATGGTCCAATATCGAGCTGTTAATGGTTTTAACTACACCTTTACTTAGCCATTACCTAAATCATCGAAGCACCGCATGCTCCAAATAGCAGAGGCTATTGCAATTCACCTCAAACAACTAGTGCTCTGCGTTCGAACGAAACAAGTCCATCCCCTACTACTGCCCTGGCCTACAGTAGAGACTATAAATTCATGAATTTATAATATTATCTTTCCTAATTTTTCTGACATTCAGCTTATTTTATGTTGCTGCTATTCAGCTGTAATCTATCAATATTATTGATTCGATGTTATTTAAACAGCATTAATGTTGTTCATAACACTAATTCATCCATTCACTATAATGTATATATGACTGTAGAACCTGATGATGAATTTATCGAAAAGAGTACTCTTTGTTCAGTATCCACTCTTCTGAAAATTTTGAGATTATTTATTATCCTACCACAGTGCCCAAGTTTTATACTTATATCGATGAGACACACGAGAATTCATTTAGTCGATAAATTGTAATTTATTCCTATAGAATCATAAGTAGGCTGACAGCAATATGACATCACACATTGCATACGTGGTATATGTATATATGCACGTAAATATATCGATGGAGTATGCTTGATTCTAATTTGAATCAAAATGAAGACTGTTGTGATACCTTCAGTAATAATAACTATGGAGAATTGGATTCAAAACTGTTCCTTCTTAAAAAAAAACAACATTTTTTTATGTTGGCTTCATGTTTTGTGTAGCGTAGTGGTAGAAAAAGGTTGAATCGAAAAATAATGAAGGTTTAACGATGAGAAATTCCACCGTTTTTTTCACAATACTTACAGGTTGTGAGCAATTTAATTACATTTTCCAGTATGATATATCTCACACAGAGGTTTAGACATCCATCTGTAGAGTGATTAGTCTGGAATCAAAATGCAAATAGTCATTTTTAATTAATAATAATAATAATAATAATTTAAGTGTTGGTTTGTAGGGACTTGATTGGTTACAGGATTTCATCATTAGCTGACATTGGTTAGAGAACCATTGGGAAACCAGCTGGGAGTACTGGACAGCTGTTTCGTCCCAGTTCGAGACTCTTCACCAGTCCGCACCCACTATGAGGGTTCGAACCCAGGACCTTCTGGTTACAAGGCGAACTCGTAGACCATTAAGCCACTGAGACCCGATCCAATGGCCAGTCCATGAATTCTAACTTCTGCCAATCCACAACATAGCGTGACCACTAGCCAATGTCTTCAGCGAGTATTTCTCCTCACAACCGACCTGCTGCACCCTACTGGTCACGACTTCTCACTAGAACCCCAGGTAACTAACTACCTACCTGAATAGAGCAAGTCTCCAGTGAGCATCTCATCGATATTCAAGTGTTGGTTCTCTAGCTAATGTCAGCTCATAATGAAATAATAATTTGATAAGTTGATATAACTCTACACAAAAACACTTTCTGCATGTGGTTTTTTCTTCGATTTTCGATAGTTTTCTTAGCTAACGAGACTATCTCCCTTAATTTAGTAACAAGTTTCTATAAAAGTAAAGGTTGTTGTTACATTGATATTATGTTTATAATCAAAGCGTGCCAAATAATTTGTCGCATGCCGCTTCAACAAATTTTTATAAACACTGATTACTTTAAATTGATTTCACTGTCATATGATGTAGGTATCTTGTCAACATCCCGTGGATTATTGCATTTTTGAATGCAAAGAGACTAAATTTATGATGTGATTGTATTGGATTTCACAAAAACATACATTGACACCTGATATGCCTTTGTTAAATTTAATTTTTTACTTCCCGTTGATTGGATAATATTGGCCCGAAATGTTCAGTCTCTGTTGACATGTTGGCTCCCAGTACGGATGCTCTGACGATGTTTAAGCATTAACATGTTGTTATTTGTTGATAGTAAATAGTTGGAGGCAATCGGTGGCGACAATTGAACTCAGATTTCATGCTTCTCGGCACTCGTCAGCAAGGTGTATATGCAGTCTTGAAGGAACTCATGTTCATCTTGAGATTGGAACCTGCGTCACCCAGTGGTGCAGTCAGAGATGTTACCACTGAAATATTTGGGCTGCCGGTTGACCTCCTGTAGGACTGTATTGGATGCTTTGATTTGACACTAGTCAGGGACTAGTGTAGTGTGTCTAGTCCTTTCTTTGGTGCAGACTGAATTCTATGAGTCACGTTTGTCATGTGGCCAGCATTCTAGGTGGCTCGCCATCATAGTGCACTTTGAATTGTGGATATTAGATGGTTGGAGGCAATCAGCAGATACGCCCTGATGACGAGTGCCAACTAGCACGAAACTTGGGTCCAAGACTTCCTATCTATTGCCTCCAATCATCTGGTATCGACAATTTAAAGTGTACCGTGATAACGAGCCACCTAGAATGCTGGCCACATTACAAACTTCATTGATAGAATTCAATCTGCATCAAACAAAAGACTAGGCACACTACACTAGTCACTGACTAGTGTCATTTCAGTGTTGTTATTTGGGGGGGGGGCAGTGACTGGATTCCACCAATAGTCATCATCATCTTTCACTCTGTTTTCTGTAGTCCTTTGATACGGGCTCATCGACTGACCACATACTTTCATTCAGTCTTCGTATGATTTCTATGTTACCGTTGGACGCTTAACTTAACGCTTCACACTCAAGGTTCTACCCAAGAAGGCCTGACGTATGATGTCACCCAATGGGTCTCCTCGCTGTATGTTCATATCCATTTTTCTCTGCATATTTGTTGGGCAATAAGTTTTTGGTTGGCCCGTTCCCAGAGTTCCTTGATGCTGATCCTTTTTGGTTGGCCATCTCATCTTCAGTATCTAGCCAACGTAGACCAGCTAGTGATGAAAGCCTGTAAATGTCCAATAACTCCTGCTAACTGAATGTGATAGGTGTTCGCTTTCTTATTTATTAAGCGAAACGTGCTTCAGTATTACTGACGTTCCCTCAAAAAATGAGGTCATACAGAAAAGGATTTTTTCAAACTGTTTACAGTTATTTCATTTGTAAAACTATGTACTAGTAAATTATTGAAACCCATAATAGTCTTTGATTTTAGCCAAGGTTTTGATATGAATTTGTATCATTTCGCCTATTGCTGCATAGAGTTGGTAGTACATTAGACAATCTGTAAATCTCTGTCACAAAAGTAGCTCGAACTCGGAAAACATCATCAAGTAAGGGAGGCACCTACAATTTATCCTGTAGTGTATAGCTTGATAATCGTTTTGCAAACTTTATGAGTAGTATTCGTTCACCACCTGAAACTGTCCAATATGACATTAATTGCATTCTAGTTACTAATCGGTCGAGAGTGGTTAGATCAAAACACGCTACACTAGTATATGAATTTTCTAACCATTGGTTTGAGCCACCTAGGGGGGGGGGTGGTGTAGATTGCCTAAATTGACTCTTCAGAATGCGAGAACATAGCTCTTGAAGAATGTTGATGGCACGGCTTCAAGTGGTGTATTCACTACAATTCATCTTCCAGATTTCATAAATGTTCACTCAATTTCATCTATTCTTCTTGTCATATGTACTTGTCCATTGTAGTTTTATTACATTTTTTTCTGTAATTTTATTTGTGCTTTCCCGACGAGTGATAGCTTCAATTGATGGATGTGTGAAGGATGGATGTTCTCCTTTTTTCAGTGCTCTGTAGATTACACTCAGCTTCCTGCTTCACTAACCTTCTCTCCTCTGTCATCTACCAAGTGTCTGTAGAGAGCCGTTCCTTGTTCAGTCTATTCTCCCTTAACAAGATGGCTGCGGAGGCTTACTTTCATGACACTGTCAGACAGCTCCAATGTTTCTCCTCACCTTCAGAATTCTCCATGATGACTGCAGTATAGGTGTGCTTTGTAGTTTCATCCCTTAGTTTCTGAGTGTTGAACATGAGTTGTGATCTACCTCCAGCTTCTTTGAAAGCTTTCAAACTAATCTTGAAGGCTTGCCATACTAGATATTGATCTGAATTCGCGTCTTCGCTTTCTTGAGATTGGTATAAAGTCAAGCAGATTTTGGGTGTGTCCATCTCATGAAACTGACATCATTTTGTGTATATTTCCTTGTGCTTGTACACGTTGCTTGCAATTACCGAATCATTAAAGGAACAGAAGCCTGTCAAGAGTTCTCTGTTCTCATTCATTTCATCGAGTGTATTTCAACCCATAATAAGTCCTCCTACCGTGTTGTCTGCTGCCTGTTTGGCAAGCATATTAACCATTAGAATTTCGATATATGTCAAAAATTCCACTAATCTTACAACAAATGGGAATGAGGAAGAAGGAGAACTGTGCAAATTGTGTCATGAATTGCTGCAGTTACAATTAATATGTACATCTGAAGAGTAAATTCTGTTCGAAACATATCATCCAGTAAATATTACTGTTTCACTCTGTGATATATATTAAGTAAACAAAGTGAATATTGAATCGATGAACTTTTATGCAAACTGTTAAGTTGATAAGTTTCCTTTATTAATTATTATTCAATGTTGAATAGTTCTTTCAAAAAAAAATAAATAACCTACTTGAAAACAACAACACGTACAACTTTGCATAAAATCTAAAAAGTACACTGAGTAGTGAAGTGAATAAATACATTCGTTTTAAAACTATATATACAAAAATTCTTTGGTTGATTTTTAAAAAAATCTTTATTTATATCATTTTGCACATTTCACATAACTAGTTTTAAGCCATTCGTTGTGGAGTTAAAGTGTAAATTGTGTTTATTTATTTATTTTTTTTGTATTCCTTAGAATTTACTATGAACACCCGATACCCTTTTTTTGCTAATTGCGGAAATGAAATCATCTTGTTATGGACTACATAAGATACTGGTTTCATTTAAAACTCATATGCACTAATAGTTATTATTAATGAAACGAAAATTCTGGGCATTATGGGCCAGTGCGTCGGTAGCATAGCGGTTAGGACGCTCGCCGACCATGCACATGGTCCGGGGTTCGATCCCCGGCCGACGCATTCCTTTACCTGGTCAAGAGGAAAGGTTGGGCATGAGGCTAGCAACCCCATCCCGTAAAATAAACACTGCTAAAGAAACTTCAAGCCACTAGCTTGAAGCCCTATGTTCCACTGGGGAACGTGAAGGAAAAAAATGGGCGCCAAGAGAAGCACCACACGAAATCTCATAGTTTGTGCGAGGGCTGCAACTCTGCCCGAACGCCCAGACCGAGGCATTTGGTTGTCAAAAAGGGCTACCCCCCCCTCCGAGCCTTTGACTTGAAGTCTGATCCATGAAGCAGTGGAGCAGACTCAGGGACTGCTTTCGCATAATCGCCGGTGACTAAAACGGATTCATACGCCATTTGATCCGTTCAGATTCTGGAGCCCATGTACACCATAGGTTTCGGAATCATGGTTTTCCAGATCTCCTATTTTAAGACGGGCATGTCCACCAATCTAGTTGTAAGCTGCAGATATTCCCATTCATCCTTTCACTATTGTGGGGAACACAGCCCCCCCCTGCCCTGTTACATGAAGGCATTGAATAGAACTTACCTGGTAGAGGTTATGAAAGCGTGGTCACATGAGAGCTTTTCGAAATGAAGACTTACACCGTCGGCTGTACCAGGTCGTCTATGGGACTTGACCAGGTGGGGTTTAATAGTGCATAGACTGGGAATCGATTCCTGATGAGTGATTGGCGAATATTCTACCAGTGAACCACTAACCCACCTAAATAGTATCCGGGCTGATGCATGCATACAACCCTCTTCACAATAATACTGATAGAAAATATTAATATTAGATGATGATGTAATTTTACAGAAAATAGATTTGAATGTTTACTCGTTTGTCCATAGGACTGCATCATATTATTTGACAAAACTGGTAACCCTGTTTACCTGGATCACACGTCAAAACTATTTGAAACGCCTTAAAAACTGTAAACGCTTGGAAATTGGATTTGAGTCAACTTAAATGTGACGTTCTAGTGCTACCCCCCCCCACCTCTTATTTAAACTGCCGTACTTGTTTTTGGAAACTGTCCTCAGAAACTTCATCCGGCCATATTTTAAGATTATTTCTGAAAAACACTGCTAAACTAATAAAACCATTCGGAATAGGCAATAACAGCACGCACCAACATAACCGCTTGATTGAACACTGTACAGAACAAGATTCTGCACAGCAAATGAAGGCAAGATCAACATCATCTACAGAATAAATTGCGGTAAGCACTATATCGGTCTAAGTGGGCGTTCCTTTCAACTCCGAGTTCAAGAACATAAACTGACTGTTAAAGGACACGACATGTATTCTCACATATCAATGCGTATAGACAACTAGAAACCAGTTTGACTGGAAAAATGTAGAAATTTAGAACACTAATAGTACCGAAAATGTCAGAGAATTCCCAGAAGCCTGTTGCTTAGACAAATTAGCGATAATAATAATTTGCTTTATTCCAAAACAGTACTTGTGATACAGAATGGAATTCTCAGCATTTTTACTACAGTATTGCATCCAGTTAGTACATTATCAATAAATAGAATTCTACATAGATTAAGGAAACCTCAGTTCATTATGACAACAACATATTGACATATTGGTAACAAAGCCAGAGTTGAACAGTGTTTGAAGGTGTTAGAAAAGTAGGTGCTATCATATTTACTGGCGTAAGCGGAAGAAAGAAACAAAGCAGCACATAACGGAAAAAGAGAGAGAGAAAAGGAAAAGAAATAAAGAAAATTTCGTACCTATAAATGACATGAGTTGGAAAGATGAGGTCCAGTTGTTCTTCTGACTAATGTGTCACACCTAATGCTTTCTTTATCGCACAGAACACGAGCTAAGTAGGGTATGGTTGAGTTTTTGTACTTGCTGGTGCGAGCATATAGTTTTCTTTCTCGATAGGCTTCTGGTTTCGCCTGATGAGTGCAAGGGGAGAGTTGTGAATGAAGAGGGTGGTGTGAGTTAGATAGAATGGACTTAGCCCATTTTTCACATGAGTCCATGTGCCTGTCGACCAGAATATTAACAAGCTGGTTAAGTGGCACGTTGCTTACTCTGCTGACAACCTTTAACATTCTGCTTAATAAGGTATAGTCTTTCTTCAGTAGCCCGGGAAAAACTAAGGGGGAACAATAGAGAATAATAGGCAGAATGCGAGAGTTAACGAATTGTAGGAGTAAGTGTTGGGTTATAGAAGAATGTCTTAACTTCTTGATGTGGAAGGTAAGGCGGAATATTTTCTTAGAAATAGTCAAGATATGAGACGACCAGGAGAGATCAGCAGATAGAATGACGCTTAGGTATTTAATTTCCGACTTGGTTTCTATTTTAGTGCCATTAATGTTGCACACCTCATGAGAGCCAACCAGTTTGTTTAGGTCGGATTTATGCCTAAAGGTGAAATTGACTGTTTGGCATTTGGAGGGGTTTATGGTAAGACCGTTTTCCTTGGACCACTGGCTGATTTCTGACAGAAAGCCATTTCGTTTAGAGCAGTCACTTTGACATTTGACAGGCAAAGATACTGTCAGGTCAGATCAACAGACATGGCTACAAATCAAATTTATCAACTAATGAGAAATAGATCACACTGATAAAGAAAGTAAAATTCTCACTCAATAACAGCAGTCAGTGCCAAATAAACTATTTTTATTTGTTATGTTTAATCTTCACTGAGTATCTTTAAGCACTGCATAATTGTTTTCAGTTAGAATACAATAACCAATCAAGGATCTGTTGCCCAAAATTACGTAGAAGGAAATAAAGATAGATTGGGCATACGCTGAGAATTCTATCCAAAAGAACCCAAATGAGATACGACTTGGCTGTCCGAGGATAACATGAGGGGGATCGTGTGAGGAGGAAATGACAGCTTATGGACAATTGTGGAACCATCTGAAAAGAACTGTAGAGTATAGAATGAAGTCAAGATGTGCTACTTAAGCTGTATGTTCCAGGCGGAACTCAGGGAATAACAATAGTAATAGTACAAATTTGCAAAATGAGAGGGTTCTGGATCATTGGTTTGAACCACTGTAATTTTACCCCAAATGAGTCATGTACTTGTAGATGACTTACTATGTCCTTCACAACTGGATCATATCATATGCCCTTACAAATCAAGCTTAGTTCGTTTTCGATTACATAAAAATTCTTGTCATTAATTGAAGAGGCTAGATAAACTTAATTTAAGGAGAATAAGTCATACGGTTTTATTCAGTTGACTGTGGTTTATACTAAATAGAATTGTTCCACTATTGAACCACCACTATACTGGTCACACTAACCGCTGAAGTCGCTTTGCTGTCAATATTGTAATCTTACTGCTTTAATTCTTTTTCTGTATTCACATAAAATCCGCTTCAAGTGTATGCTTTTATTTTCTGTTATTTCTCTTCCCATTTCTCCTCAAGTTACGACATCGTGAACGCTTCCAAATGCTGTCTTTAGTGTATATCTTGTTAGCTTGTGTTTCTTGGGGCTGTGCAATATATTTCTACTTATCACGAACAACCACGTGGGAGGTAAGTCAGTTCTGTTACTTTTTATCAACTATGTTGTGTCATGATTCAACTGACATTTATGAATGTCTCAATGTGAGTGTAAAACGGTGTGAACTCCACTTACAACTTGCAATTGAATAAAACTGACTGTTTCATTCGGTAAAGTCTATTTGACTCCTCATCTTTCTTTAAATTTTAAAGTTTCACTATCCTTTTACCATTGTTATCTTATCTTTTCAAACCACTTTCCGGTGTTTAGTTCGCTTACATCTGACTACTAATCACTACTACTCAGTACTACGTACCTTCATGTAGAGTACTGCAACTGTTATTTCCATTTCGCTGATATCTAATTTAGTACTATGCAGTGCGTATGCCTAGAATTTCAAATCGCATTCCCGTTTTTCAGCACTCCGAGATACCTCAACAACAAGCACATTTAAACGTGCCAATGAAAGCTAACTCCTTACTTTAACAGTAGTTTCACGTATTAGACAGTTGAAAGCCTTTGTTGGCGAGCATTGGATCCAGATTTCATAATTCTTGGCTCTCGTCAGCGAGGCATATATGCAGTATTGAAGGAAATCGTGTTCCTCATGAGATTCGAACCATTGTTACCCAGTGGTGCTGTCAAAGACGTTACTACTGGACTGTATTCAATGCTTTGGACAATAGTTAGTTAGTTGGCCACCATGCTACTAGGTAGCTTGACATCACTGTGCATTCTGAATTGTTGTTATGAGATGATCATTAGAAGGACTAGACGCATGATACTCTAAAGAAGAAAAGATCGATGATGCCTGAAGGTATGTTAATTAGGACAAACCTTTTGTAGGTACATACATTTTCGTATACCTTATCTTCAATGCCTTACTTGCACATCATTTGCAAATTGGTTGAATATCGTCACATTCCATATATTTTTGCATTCTGAAAAGTGTTTTTACGCTCTTTTTACAGTTCTCTTCTTCGATTGCTTTTTCTAGTGTCCAAAACATATTGTTACTCTTCTGTATTCGTTTACCGATATACTACTTAAATCTGATTGTAAGTAGCACTCACCACAATACTAGTTGCTAAGTGTCCAGTCGAATTTTCATGTATATTATCCACTGTTAGAGATAGGTTAAGGGTGTAGTACGATCATGAAATATAGGCATTTCCATGAATTTTAATACTCACGCATCTATTTCATCAACCGTTGGTATTCGGAAATATATTCATTTACAATGATTTCCTTGATTGCAGTAGACTGGATAATGCGACAAACAGCGGGCAATGAGGAAACAGGCATAAAATGGACTCACACACAAAAATTTTGGAGGATCTGGACTTCGCCGATGATATATGTCTGATTTCCCACAAACTGGAAGATGTGCCAGTTAAAAAGCAACAAGTTGGCAGAGAAAGCATCAAAGATAGGACTTCAGGTGAACATAGAGAAAACAGAGGTGATAAAATTCCTGGGCAACACCACCAACAGCAACAACAACAACTGACAACAATCAGCATGAATGGGAGGAACCTGAAAGAAACAACCTCCTTTACCTACCTACCTGGGAAGCATCGTCTCAACTACAGGCGGACGGAACTGACGAGGATATCAAAGCAAGAATCGGAAAAGCAAGACAAGCTTTCACTACTCTAAAGTCTGTGTGGAGGTCAACAGCACTCAGCATCAAAAATGAGGTCCAGATTTTCAACTCCAATGTGAAGTCAGTCCTACTCACTATACGGATCAGAGACTTGCACTGTGCGTCATAAAGAGCATCTCAAACAAACTACAGACCTTCATTAACAGTTGTCTTCGCTCAATACTCAAGATCAGATGGCCGGCCAGAAAAGATCAGCAACAGGGATCTCTGGCAATGAGCGAACCAACCAGGAACCGATTGTGAAACAAATAGGCAGGAAGAAATGGAGATGGATTGGCCGTAATCTGAGGAAACCATCAAGTGACATCACTAGACAAGCCCTTGAGTGGAACCCGAAAGGGAAGCGGCGAGTTGGTCGTCAGTGCAAGGGTGACTTGGAGGAGGTCATGTGAAGAGGAGATGAAAGCATGTGGGCAGACTTGGAGCCAGGTGAAGACTGTAGCAGAGAACCGAAGGCAATGGAGACGCACGGCTGAAGCCCTATGTTCCTGTAGGAATTAAAGGATACAATAATAATATATAATAATATACAGTGGATTTGACAAAAAATAAAGAATTCATTTAACAATATACAGAGAGTCCAAGGTCTGTTGGTCAAGGACAATGGTGAACTTTGGGCTGACCTCTATGGGAGTTAAATTACTGAATCATAATTAAGTTAATGAAAACCTTCCCTCTACACTTACAATCATATGATGCCTGAACTTTCGTATAAATTCAATTCGGTTTTAAATACTTTTGGTGCTCTGAGTTCTAGTTACAAGTTAAGATAATAGTAGATTACTAAACGAGCTCTCAGTAATTTGAACTGTAAACGAGTGAGCGTGTATTTTTTTAACGATGTATTCGATCAAAGGGGGGGGGTGTACTGCTCAGCAGTCCGCTCCGTCCTCCTTTATGGCTGGCTGTGAGACATGGCCATTGAGAGTGGAAGACATATAAAGGCTAGCTGTCTTTAATCATAGGTGCCTGCGCTCTATCTCTCATGTGAGTTGGTATAATAAGGTGAGCAATATTGAGGTTAGGCATCGGTTGAGTGCTAAGTAAGGAGGGGAAATCAAACGACGACGCTGTCAAGTGACATTAGTTGATATGGTTAGGATATGTGTTACGCATGCATGTCTAACCACCGCCTTCCTCGACGGGCAATGTTAGCTGACATAATATCAGGTTGGAAACGAGCCAGCGGTGGTCAAACCAAAAAATGGCTTCATCGATCAATGAAATCCACAATAGTTAGTTTAAGCCAGCCACGTAGGAAGGTGTAGACCTCCTGGTTGGGGTCTTCGGGACGGTAAAATCCAATTGTTGGAAACATTTGGTGACATGGCACAAAATCGTTTTCAATGGCTGGCGCAGATGTATCCACTCCTTGTGACTCATGATTTCAAATGGAACTATATCGTTCTTCGTTATTACTATTCCTTTGTCTCACACCTCTGTTTACTGTCTCTAATATGCACTTCTTCTACTTTCTTCTCTTGCTTTATGTGCTGCATGCAATGTGGTGACTTGAAACTGCCGTACATATGTGCAAAGTTCTATGTCGAAAACAGACAGACAAACAGAATCCATGTATTCAAGTAATTGACCACTAACGCCTTTGTAACATCACTTGCTTATAACTTGGTCACTTGATGACAATTGCAAAAGTTAAATGTATTGTAGTGCATTAAAGTACTTAAGTAATTTGAGTGATCAGAATGCAAGCCTTCAACTTTACAAAATGCAGCCTTCTTGTCTTCACCTCAGTTCTAGTGACCAAGTTGCAAACCCTAAAAATTCTATCATCATGTCTTGAATCCCATTTTTCCGAAATTTTTTGTATCTTCCGACAAATGTTATTATCATTGTTGTTGATATGCAGTGTAATAGTCTGGATTAATAAATAAACAGTAAGGTTTTCCGTTATCTGCATGTTCGTGTGACACTTAGCAATCTATGTCATCTTTGACGTAGACTGGATATCCGGCTATCCATCAAATGATGTTTGTACTACGCTGTAGTTCGCCTCGTCCTCCTTTACGGTTGTGAGACATGGCCATTGAAACTGGAAGACTTGAAGAGGTGTTTGTTTTCCATTTTCCGTGTTAACTGGTATAATCTGCTGATTAGTATTAGGGTTAGGCGTAGAGTGTTAGTTAAGGAATTGGAGTTGATCAATGAACTTAATAAGCTGCTCCCACTGAGATAACTAGAACGTGTTACTCATACCAAGTCATCGCCTTCTTGATTGCGCAATGTGTTAGCCGACACAGGATTAGGCTGGAAAAGAGTTTGGGGTGGTGTAGTTGAAACGTAGTCACAATCCATGAAGTCTTTGTCTGGCTGGTTTTAATCACCTTGGTGGACGTCGAATGTCTGCCTAGTACTCTTGAGATTGTTGGTGACATGGCTCAAAGTTGTTTTCAATGGTGCAGATGCAATCACTTTTTATGAATTTCAAGATCCATGTTATTACATCTTTCTCGCATACATTTCTGTTTACTAAAGTCTATTTGCATGTGTTCTTTTTTGCTTGAGTTTTATGTGTGGTTCTATGAAGTTATGTCATCCTAAATCTGCTCCATTTTTCTACAAAGTTAGTTCTACGTCGAAAATTCACTTGAGTTTTGCTTATTTATATGTTTAACATTGAATAGCATTTTTTGAAAAAAGAAACCACAAACACACGAATTTGATATTCGTATTTGGTATATGAGGCTGTATGCTTTAACAGCACGTTGAATCTTATGTTAAAATACTAAATGGATTCATTAGAGGAAATGGAATTTAATAATACAAGTATACTGTTGTAGTGGGTCGGTGGTTCAATGATGGAATGCTTGCTAACCACGCACGTGACTCGGGTTCGATTCACACGGTCGACGAACTCACCAGTTTCAATTAACTGGTAGTAAGCCAAGGAAAGAGCAGGTAGGTTTGGTGTAAGACTCGCAACCCCCACCCCACCGTAAAAACAAATACCACTGCTACCGGAATGCCAATAAGCTCACTTCTGAAACTCTATTTTCCACTTGGAATGCAAATGAATGGAAAAAAAGTAAATGAAATCACTGAAAGCAGTGTCTTTTGCCTAACCAACCTGTTTATCGTTTCTTTTTGGAAGAAATATTATTTATCTCTATGATTATCATTACTGGATGGAAACATTTTGTGTGTTTTTTATTTCAATTATCGCTCACTTTTCAGGTAACTCCTGCTCGCTCTCGTGCACTTAATCAACCCTGTGTTTTATTGGATTTCTACGATGCCCATGATGTTTGGCACTTTTTATCTTCCATATCTATGTTCTTTTCGTTTATGGTAGGTGGATAAGTGTTAGTCAGTTTTGCGTTTTCTGTCAGTATACTTTAAGTTATTATTATTTTTCCTGGTGGATAAATCGTCTTACTTGCTTGATTTTATATTAATTTTCAAGAAATAGTTTGTAGGATGCATACTGCCGATGAGTCCCGAACTAGGATGAAACAGCTGTCCATTACTCCCTTGTTTTCAATGGTTCTCTGACTGATATCAAACCGTTGTCTTACCTGAAGCAAATACAATTCCTACAATTTAATTCTTGAAAATTAATCTGATGCTCGCTAGTGACGACTGGCTACAAGACGGAGCTTCTTGGAGTTCTAGTGAGAAGTCGTAACCGGTGAGGTTCATCCAGTCGGGAGTGAGCATGGAGTTCTCACCGTTAATATTGTTTGGTGGTCCCGCTAAAATCATGAATTGGTAAAGTTAGAATTCATGGGCCGGCCATTGAACTGGGTGCCAGTGGCTGAATGGTATATAAGCTTGCCTTGTAACCGGAAGGTCCTGGTTTCGAACCCTGGTAGTGGGTGCGAACTATAGGCTTAGAATAAGAATTTTCCAGCTCTCCCACGTAGACAATCATACGTTTACCAGTCCGGTTATAAGCGCTAAACGTTCTCATTTACTCTTTCACTTTTTTGAGGGACACCCCAGTTTTTTAAAGCCAGTAAACAGGACGTACCTATGGAAGCTATGAACGCGGGACCGTATGAGAGCATTCCGATAGAAAGATCGAAGTTTTATCCTATGTTGGCCGTACCATGTCGTTTAGGGGGGCTCGTAATGAAGTCGTGACCAGTTAGACTCATCGAGATGTCACGTGTGAGGATGGATGTCCCACCTACAACAATGGTTGGGGTCGCGCTAAATCACGAATTGGTAGAAGTTAGGATTCATGAGCCATTGAGTTGGGTCACTGGGGCTGAATGATATCCGAGCTAGCCTTGTAACCGGAAGGTCCTGGGTTCGAAGCCCAGTGGGTGTGTACTGCCGATGATTCCCAAAGAGCTAGGATGAAGCAGCTGTCCAGTACTCCTTGCTGGTTTTCAATGGTTCTCTAACTGATATCAATCCGTGATCAACTCATAAAAATAATTGTAAAAGAACACATTAAGTGTTTCAACTGCAATTATATATATATATATGTCGATGAAAATAAAGCTATTAAGCGATAGATTACTGTAAGAGATAAAAGTACGTTGTATCATTAATAAATTGAACTTTGTTCTCAATCGGAATATAATTTATTTTTAAGAAGAAAAAAAAGATAATAAATGAGAGGTGGGTGAGTAAATTAGATAAGAATGAAAAGATTTCTTGATTCACGTTTCTCATTGTATTTTGTCATCACTCACTAATGGACTCATCTGCCTGGAACAGAGTTCTCGTGTACCAGGCTACGAAACACACTTATTGTGCAAGGTCTGATAATACTACTAACAAGTTCTCCATTCTAAAGTGGGTGAAGCGGGACTCAAACCCGTGACCTCTTAGCTGAAGTCCGAGTACTGAAACCAACAGGCCACATCTCCACATATGTGTCTGATTAGTTAAAAAGAAATAAGCAAGAAAGTGAAATTACAAAGGGATTATTGAAATACTATCTGTTTTATTATATGACATGTCGAGTCGTTTTATGGATTTCAAAAATAAGCAAATAAAATGAAGTGACAGATCAATGGAAATACTAAATCTTAGTAGAGTATTAAGTCGCTAGATAAAATGACTAGGAAACTTTTACATGATCTAGATTTATCGGCATAAAAATAAAATTCGAACAGTATCGTATGTGTTCCTCTAACACCTCATATCAATGGTGATTCCAACCTTATAGCACACTGGTCAGTTACACGGTATCAGTCTTTGAACCACACTTGTTATTCTTTGAGGTCTGATCATGCTATCCAAGCTAGAATAGTTGGAACGAGATTCGAACCCCGAGGCACTGAAAGGCGAGTGACTAAGCCAATGAACATGCATGTGAAGCAGTAGTACTTAAAAGAAAAAGAAGATAAACCGATGCACAGGCAACCATCACTTTTATTTCGCGCACTTACATTGTGTCATATATCCAATGGAGTCATAAGATTAATTCCATTGTGCAGTGATATGTGATATTAGATGGTTGGAGGCAACCGGCAGGAAGCCTTGGACCTAGGTTTCGTGCTAGTTGGCACTCACCAGTCAGCAAGGCGTATCTGCAACCTTGAAAGAACTCATTTCCCTTCTGAGATTGGAACCCGCGTCACCCAATGCTGCAAACCTGACTGACAGAACTCAGTCTGCATCAAAGAAAAGACTGGACACATCACATTAGTTACTAGTGTCCAATCAGAGTATCCACTACAGTCCTACAGGAGGTCAATCGCGAGCCCGGATAGCTCAGTAGTAACGTCGCTGATTGCAGCACTGGGTGACATCGGTTCGAATCTCATGATGGACATGAGTTCCTTCATGGTTGCAGATACGCCTTGCTGACTGGTGAGTGCCAACAAGCATGAAACCTCGGTGAAACAAGACTTACTGCTATAATAGAGAAGATTTGTAGCTCAGGTGGATGATTTTGGTGTGGTTGTGTTCTCTGAGCTGGGTGGTTTGGTTGCGAAACTTTCATTGCTCTACTGAGCAACATCTTCAGCGCATACTTCAATGTGAAGTGAGCTTTTAGAATTCTCTATGAGTTTATTAGTCATCTCTTCTAGTAACCTTGAACGTGATTGGTTACGTTACCACCCAGCTCAGAGAACACAACCACACCAAAAAGACTTACTGCCGATTGCCTCCAACCATCTAATATCATCTAGTCAATGTGCACCGTGATGGCGAGCTACCTAGAATGGTGGTCACATTGCAAACCTGACTGACAGAATTCAGTCTGCACCAAAGAAAGGACTAGATACGTCACTCTAGTTACTAGTGTCCAATCAAAGCATTAACCCAGGTTTGTATGCTGGCGGCGACACCAGGTGCGTCGGTGGCGTAGCAGTTAGGACGCTCACCGACTATGCACATGGTCCGGGGCTCGGTCGACGCACTCCTTTACCTCGCTAAGCCAGAAATAATGCTGGCGAAGAAGAAAGGTTGGGCATGACGCTAGCAACCCCATCCTGTAAAATAAACACTCCTACAGAAACTTCAAGCCACTAGCTTGAAGCCCTATGTTCCACTGGGGAACGTGAAGGAGAAAAAATCAAAGTATACAATGATTTATGTTCAAAATGTGTTTTTATCATGATCTCATACGGTGGATGGTGACTAGCTGTGGAATTCAGGAAGCCTATTTCCTCCTCCTCCTCATATTTAGGACTGGTCAGACAGGTGTGCCTACAATCCCTAGTGAGTGATGATATGCCGCTCACTGAGACTGGGACCCACTCAAAACACCAAAGCGCGCTATCCACTATGTTACTTGGGATATAAATAATAATAATAATAATAATTTGCTTTATTCCAAAACAGTACTTGTGATACAGAATGGAATTCTCAGCATTTTTACTACAGTATTGCATCCAGTTAGTACATTGTCAATAAATAGAATTCTACATAGATTGAGGAAACCACAGTTCGTTATTACAACAATACATTGGCATGTTCAGTAGCAAAGGTAAAGCTGAAACAGTGTTTGAAGGTGTTAGAAGGCAATAAAGGCAATAGGGAGGAGATACGCATACTGGATTCTACTGCTAGCAGTCATATGTTAGCTGTAAGACATTATCTTTGAAGCGTCCGTGGTAAGAGCGCTGACATGTCAACACTGACCGCGAACATTTCACTCCAGTGTAATCAATTAACCGGAAAGTAGACAATTCACTTTAAAAAATGTGTTGTGTGTTTTCTTTTCCCCTTTCAGTTACTCATGTATCTTGATGATAATCTTTCAAAGCGTCCAAGGAATCAAATTTTTGTTTTTTAATTCAAATAACACTGTGAATTGTTAATAATAATAATAATGTTATTATTTTTTTTTAAATCCTCCTATTTTAAAGTATTATAGTTATTAAATTACTTAACGATCAAACACTTACTTATACAACACTGTCATTACTTTATAAACTTTTGATTGATTTATTATATTTAAATATTGTTGTAATCTTTCTGGAAAATAAAACAAACAAACACACAAACAGATTTATACACTTATTCACACGCATACACACCTACACACACGCACATTGCAGACACAAGCAAACAGATTATATTGTGTATAACGTTTTGTCTGCTTTTTGTGTTATTCGTCTCTTCTATTGTTGTCTTTTATCTTGACTTAATTTATCTTCCTGTTTTTTCTGCGTTTGATTTAATGAATCATCTTTTTTTAAAGCAAACATTTGAATACAAAATAATAATTAAAGCCATGATACCTTTGTTTTTAAAAAAAAGAAGTTGTGACTCATTGTTGTAGATGTCATGTGTGTCGGTGGTACAGGGGGTTAGGACTCTCGCCGACCCCATGTACACATGGTCCGAGGTTCCATCCCCTGCCTACGCACACCTGATATCAATGGTCGACCTGCAAAAATTTTTGGCTACCGATATCATATGCTGAAAATTCCATACTTGTATTAAAATTACGGTGTGGAATCAAGCTAAAGTCGAAATGAAGTGAATGTGTTCATTCCACCTAGTATGGACTAGTCTGAGAGTTAGTATGTCTCATTAATCTTTACACGGAACATATGGGTTACTGCATAGTATGGTTGTTTTGTGGCAGTTATTCACTAGAATTAATGTCAAATTAGTACTTCTTTATGATTTCAGACATTTGATGCATCGTGAAAAGCATTTCTAACCGCCTACTGCAGACTTTTATCAGTAGCTGCCTTCATTGGGTCCATATTGAAGATCAGATGGTAGCTGGCTGGAAAGGAGAAACTACAAAGACTCCTTGTCACAAACCAACCAAGAGCCTGTCGCTTAACATTTCAAGTGAAGATTGGAGTAAGACAAAGCTGCGTACTATCACCGATGACACACTTGATTGTGCGGGACAGGATCATGCCTCCCCCCAAGCTGTGGGGAAGTAGAAGACAGAAATACGTTGAACTGACAAGAAGACTGTAAAAGATCTGGACTTTGTGGACGATTTATGTCTAACGTCATATAAACTCAAAGGTCTGTAGACGATAGCTAACATTTGGCAGAAGAAGCAAGTAGCGAAGATAGGGAGCGAAGTGAACATAGAGAAGATGGCGCTGGTGAAAACACCTGACCAACAACAATAACAAGCACTAATCACTATAGACGGAAGGAATTCGGACATCACTTCTATCATTTATTTAAGCAGCATTGTTCCAACCACAGACGGCATAGATGAGGATTTTACATTTAGGCAGTATCAGACATTCATTTCTTTGAAATCTGCTGCAGTCAGCATAAAGATCAAGATTCAGATTTACAACGGCGTCGCAGAAGGAAATAGGGAAGGATTGGACACACGCTGAGGAGACCGTCAACTGGTATCAACGGGAAGTTGGATGGGAAACGAGTTCAGCGTCCGAGAATGACATGGAAGTTATTGTGTGAGGAGGAAATGAGAACTTGTGGACAATCGTGGATCCAGCTAAAAAAAGACTGAAGAGAATAGAATGAAGTGGAGACGTGCTGTGGAAGCCCCGTATTCCACACGGAACCTAAGGGAAAAATAATAATACTAGAAATGACATTTTTAAGCCGATATAAGTGCACTCATGTGAGTCTTTTGGAGTGTTAGTTGCCTTTGAATAAAGTATGTGTTCTTGTATTCATTGAATTACGAAGGAAAACAATGTGATACGAACTCTATGCTCTGTGTAGTTAGCATTCAGTGAATTATACTTTCAAATAACAAGATGGATAGCCAATATCTGATATTGTACTATCAGGTTGTTAGCATATCAAAGAACTACAGTAGTCTGTAATTGTATCTCGCTCCAAATGGAGCAGGTTACTTAGTACAAACATAAAGGTCTGGTCAGTTTCCGTACGGGATAGCTTCGTGTGCTTATTTATGGAATTATGTAGATGGTAACTGCTTCCGGCTGTGGTTGAAGGGCCCAGGGGACAACTGCTTGTGGCCTGTTTGAAGTGGTTTCCAACGTTTTCTATGTGTATTAAAATCTCACCGTCGGATACGAACCGCTGCAAGATAAGTCGGCTTGTACAATTTTGTGAGCGACCTCTTCCTACCCCCTCCCACAGATGGGAAAGGCTTACTCATCGTCTGAAGGAAATAACTTTACTACTTTTACATCCCTGTTCTCCAGCATTACGATTTCACGCTCGGATTTCCAACATATACTGAGATTGCCTTTAGTCTAGCTGCGATCCAAACGACTATTTTGGCTGGTTAGACCTGTAGCAACATCATTTCCAACCAGTATAGCTCACTGGGTCTTTGTGACATACACACCTCAGCATAACGTCAAGATAGCAGTTGTCGGTCGGGCCAGTTGACGGAATTTGTTTTCCACACAAAAGTAGAAGTATTCATGATTAGTAAAGTTAAACTGATGTTTCTCTTCAAACAAAACTTCTACTTTTCAATAGTTGGTTTGTAAAGATTAAATTTGTTTTTACGAGTTTGACCACGGATTGATATCACTTAGAGAAGCATTGAAAACCAGGGAGTACTGGACAGCTGATTCATCCTAGTTTGGAAGTCAACGGCAGTACGCACCCATTGGGGCTCGAATCCAAGACCTTGCGGTTACAAGGCAAGCTCGTATAAAATTCAGCCGCTGCGACCCGATGATTCCCAAACTAGGATGAAACAGCTATCCAGTACTCCCTGGATTTCAATGCTTCTGAAGCTGATATCAATCCGTGGGGAAAGTCGTAAGAACTTCTACTGCCTCATATGGACGGATGATTCTGGATTACCTTTAAATTTTAGATTCATGAAAGAGATTAATCCGACAATTACTGTGAATTTTCTTCATATTTTGAAAGAAACATTCTTAAAAGAATCAGTTCTGAGTTCGTTCAGTCTGCTCCACAGATGTTTTCTGCTCAACTGTGTCAAAGATTTCTTTTCCAAATGAAATTAGTTTCTTTTTCATTCTACACCATCTTCTAAATGAATTTTTCGGAAGATTCTTTACTGCATTTTGTGCAGCTAATTCTGATGTCAAATCGGGAATCGGAAAGGCGAGAAACACATTCATAAACCTGAAACCAATCTGGAAATCTTCGTCACTCAGCCTGCATCAACAACAAAATTCGGATTTTCAATACAAACGTCAAGTCACTTCTTCTATACGGATCAGAAACTTGGCGGTTCACAAAGAATATTTCCAACAGCATGTTGCAGACCTTTATCAACAACTGTCTTCGTTCTATACTCAAGATCAAATGGCCGGAAAGAATCACCAACAAGAAACTATGGGAACAAACAAAACAGGAACCAATCACCCAACAAATATGCAGGAGAAAGTGGAGATGGATTGGACACTCGCTGAGGAGGCCAATTGGTGACATCGCGCGTCAGGCCATTGCTCGAGTGTAATCTGAAAGGGAAGTGGCGAGTGGGACGTCCAAAGATGACATGGAGGAGATCGTGTGAAGAGGAACTGAAACAATATGGATTAACATGGATGCAAGTGAAAAGTACAGGAGAAGACAGAAGCAAGTGGAGACGTGCAGTTGAATCCCTATGTTCCACTAGGAACCCAAGGGAATAATAATAATAAAAATAATAATTCTGATTTCTTCTCTAAATATAAGTAAAAAATGAGGGATAGTCGAATTTCATTTAGAACGGCAACGAAAATGCTTACTGTTCACATATCTTTAAAATTCATTGTCTAATAGCTTGAGTGTTTCTGGTTTCGACATGAAACAATTTGATGATAATGGTAACCTTAATAATCTGTACATGCATGTAATTGTTGAACTCGAATTACGCATTGGATACACAACACAGCAGCTATATTTAGTCGTTCTGTTGATGAGAAATTAGATAGCATAACACTACTGTCTAATGCAATTAAGTCAAAAACAGGATAAAATGAATTCCAATGGGATAAAATTAATTCTCCAAATTGGGAAATATAAAAGTGAGTTCGCATCTCTACCTTGGCCCAGAAACAAAACAATGTTAGTGAATGGTGTGTTTCTGATACTCGTAACTGTCATGTGCAATAAAATTCAAGTGGAACGAGTTTTGTTTAGATTGGTGATACTTCTCATTCATCGGTTACTATTAATCTTATTTCTGCTGATATAAGTACTCAAATATTTCCTATCTAGTGTTATAGCCATTGTTTTTGAACATAATAAAACAGCAACGAAAACAAAACCCATGGTTCAACGAGGAGGCTCTTTTGGACGAATTCACTCTCTTTAGCTGTGCAATGGCATTCATGTACAATTTTTTGCATGAAAAAGGTTAGTAACAGAAGTGATCAGTTGTCATAATCTTAGCTTTTAATATCTTTTTTCCTTCACGTTCCCCAGTGGAACATAGGGCTTCAAGCTAGTGGCTTGAAGTTTCTGTAGCAGCGTTTATTTTACAGGATGGGGTTGCTAGCGTCATGCCCAACCTTTCCTCTTCACCAGCATTATTTCTGGCTTAGCGAGGTAAAGGAGTGCGTCTGTGGCCGGGGATCGAACCCCGGACCATGTGGATGGTCGGCAAGCGTCCTAACCGCTATGCCACCGACGATGTTAATATTAGTCAATTCATAAAAGCTGTTGAATAAGTCTATTATAGTTATGTATTAAGATGAATAATTTAATGAATGAGTCGTAAGAACGTAGCACATAGGAAGGATGGAAAATATGGAATTACATAAGAGCTATAAGGTAATACAAGCTAGTGGAAAACAACAAGGTTGTTACCATGATAATGGAAGCGTTGGGATAGTTTTTTTTTGTGCATTTATTCCCCTTGATGAATTTGAATAAAGCAAGAACAAAAGTGGTTTGTGCAGAATAATATGGTACCATCATTTATTTCGTAGGCTTCTCATCAGCTGCTTACAGCCTAAATAAATTATGAGGTTTGCGTACAGAAAAGTTTTAACATACTTGCAAATTTTTACATGTTGCCAGTTGACAAAAAGTTCCACAGTAAGTGAACAGTGCTCAGAAAATTGCGCTTATATAGTTTTTACACAGGCAGTTCAAGTTTAAACAAAATAGATGTATGCATACAATGGTAAAGGAGTTACGTAATAAAGACGAAATATGAGTTAGATACAGAGTGACTAATAAATTAGGTAACAATGTACTGAGTTCAACTCAAATCATAGAAACAAGAGACAAGCAAAATTACAGAATATAAAAGGGGGTGAGGTTAAAGACAAAGATTACGTAATCAGATGAGAGAATAAAGACATTCAGTTACCAGGGCAAAGAAAGATTAATAACTGCTTC